TATTAATTTTTGTTTAGCTCTAGCCAGATATCTGGACAAAGCATTTGAATGTATCCTTTGGCTAAACACAATGGGACATATCCTTAAACTCAGCACATTAGAAGGCCGAAGCAGGAGGATTACAGTTCAAATCCTGCCTAGAAACTTAGCAAGACCCTGTCTCAAAAATCAAAAAGCAATGCAAGAACTCAGGAGGCAGAAGAAGGGATATCATGATTTTGAACCCAGGCTGGACTATCTAGTGAGTTCAAAGACAGCCTGAGCTCCATGGTGAGACCCTGTCTCAAAAACCCAAAAAACAAACAAATGAACAAACAAAAAATAAAAGAGGTCTAGGCATATAGCTCAGTGTGGAGACGCTGGGTACAACAACCAGTACTGGGGAGAGTCCTCTTGACGTTAATTTCCTTGTTTATAAAAATACAGGACTCCAAAAATCCTGTGCTCTGACTTTCTTCTCAAATTGTAATCAACACCTCTCTCCCGGCCCTCCCTGCCCTTCCAGCCCTGCATACCTGGGACCCTGACATAGGTTACTGCTGGTTTTACATTTTGCCCTTTGCATTCTGCTAGGGAATGAGCTGAGTCACAGGATTCACAAAGTCCCTTTCCCAGGCTATGAGGTGGATTAAGCACAGTCCCTCCCAGGAGCTGACTGGCTGAGCATCTGGGATACAGGAGCCACCCCCCCCCGGGGGGGGGGTGCGGGCAGAAGCAAGTGGCCTGGCTGGACAAGTATGCACTGCCACCTGGCGGCCTCTGGGAGAGTGACATGGTACTGACATTCGCCACAGCCCTGATGGACACCACAGGGCCCTGACACACACCCCACAGCCTTGACTCACACCCCACGGCCCTGACCCACACCCCACGGCCCTGACCCACACCCCAGGGCCCTGATACACACCTCACAGCCCTGACCCACACTCCACAAGATTGACCCAAATATTCCTTGCCACTGACAGTGCACCCCACACCTGTGACCTCATACTCCACACTACTGCCCCAACATTCTGTCCGCTGGGCCCGACACTACGCACCACTTCTCCACACTCTAGAAAACTAGCCCACATTCTGTTTTCCTGGCCCCAATCCAGATGGATGACATGTAGCCTAGAACCTTCAGAACCCCATCAGCAGGACCTGTTGAGGTGCTTGCTAAAGATCAAGGAACAGAATGGGTAGCAGAAGGTGGAACTGAGGTTGTAAATCCAGCGATGACCTGCAATCAGCTACAGAAATGAGGACTGTAACAGCTCTCCCCTAATGATCCCTAGCAATATAATGCTGACAGACTTAATGCTGGCTAAGTATTGTTTAACCTATGCTGTTATGTTCAAGTTATGAAATGTTGGGAATAATCAACACTTATAAAGAAAACCTGCGCCCTGCTCTGGGGAGGGAGGGAGTGTGCCTCCATTTGTAGGTAGGATAGTTGTAGCACAGTAGTGATAATTATGGACCTGTGTTTCTGAAGATTAACTATGGCTGTGACTTGTATTATGCTTTTACATTATCTATTATGTCCACCCTTTTGATTTGATTGACTCTGTTCTGTTATGTCACATTTGGTTCTACTCCCTTCCAAAAAAGTAATAAGAACTGTGGGAGTAACAAAACCCAAAATGTGTAATTGTCATTGTACAAAAGAGAGGAAAAGAAAGTGCTCTAAATGATATAACTGCATGTATATTTAAGTGTATAAGATAGAAAATGATATCACTGAGTTTTATTGGATCATTGAACAGAACTGTTTGCAGTATCATTGTTGGAATGTCCACTTTACAAGCTTTAATTTTGTGATTTGAACAGTTATTTCTAAGATGACAATATGTAATCCATTAACTAGTGATTTCCTACTGTTTTTTTTCTGTAAATCTGTATAACTTGTACCCTTTCTCTGCTTTTTTTTTCTCCTTAAAAAAAAAAAAACTGTGGCTGTGAATAAGGGGTGGACTGTGACAGTTAACCTTGTGCCAGCTTTATTAGGAAAGGCCCAACTGATTGGGTCAGCACCGCTCTGGGTGTGGCTAAAGGGATTTACTGAACACAGAAGAGCCGCCCTGAGTGTGAGCAGCACAGTCAACAGCTTGTCGCCTGAATGAAATAAAAAGACAGGTGTCTTGCTTCATGCAGGTTCTTCAGAGGAGCTCCAGTCTTACCGTGGCTTCCAGCACGGACCCTTCACCTCCCAACTTTGGGAAGACTAAGACGCTTTAACCTTGGGACATAAACCTTCCGTGGGCTCTGCACCTTCTCTACCTTTGGGTCATCTAGCCCCTAGTGCCCAGAAAGCCCCTTTGCATCCTGCCATACTCTGACCCTCACTATAAGCACTGACCCTGGACTCCAAGTCGCAGGCCCCACAAACTCTACGCTGACGACACATTACCCTCCAGACTCCATGATCCACTCTTCTGAGCCCCACAGTCCACAGCCACTACCCCACACTGCACAGGCTAGCTTCGTGCTCCACACCCCTGACCCTCACACTCCACCCACAGCCTCCTACCCCGCACTGCATCCCAGTGACCCCCACTCCACACCACGGAGCCCACACTCCCTCCCACGGCTTTCCATTTGACTGGACGCACGTCACACCTCCGATCTCAAAATCCACACTGCTGACTGTGCATGCCACACCTGCCAAATGCTGCATACCACTCTCCCCAAACCCCCCTGTGGGAACACATTCTGACCCTGGGCTCCACTCCACTCCACAGACCCTTCCCTTCCCAGCATGGGCCCTGGCTGCTCAGCACAGCACCTCTCCACACTGCTCACCGCCCATCCCACCGACAGCCCCCGGACTCACTGCTCCACCCTCGTCCCACATGGCGACTCCACACCTACACACTTATGGCATATACTCACAGCCTACAAGGCGACCTCCTGCCCCGGCACCAGAGGAACAGCTAGAGGAAATTAACTGCCTCCAACTTTCATTTATCTTTCTTATAATTATTTCAGGGGCCAGGGATATAGCTCAGTGGCACGAGCACCTGCCTGGCAAACACAAGGTCCTCGTATTAAAAAACAAGAATAGTTGGTTCTCATAGTTATGGAGACAACCATCTCCTCTCACTCCCTGAGTTTAAGTCATGTTCAGTCTCAGGCAGGCAGAGGAGCGGTTTCTGACAAGTTTTCCGTGACACCCTGATGTAGGTCTAGGGAATGGAGATGCTAGGGCAGAAAGCGTGTTAGTATAAACGCTCGTGTCATGAAGGGCTCACTAGGGAACAGGAACAGCAAGACAGAAAACCCATCAGGGAGTAACAAAGACCGTTCTCCTACTGGTCACACCCCTCTCATGCAGGTGCCTGTCACTCTGTAGCTCAGGACTGCGCTGTGGGACAGACAGGGAGCAGTAGCAGCACTTTCGGGTCGCAGGCTCAGCTCACATTTGTAACCTCAGCCTCTGAGGGCACAACCTCCTCGAGCAGGCTGCAGGGAAACATCTGTGCTGTTTGACACCCACAGGACAGAACAACCATCAATAGCACCCAAACCCAACCTGTGTGGACCGAGTGCTGGCTCACATCCCCACCAGCTGGCAGCTCGCCTTCAGGAGTTCTCCTGCCAGTTTCAAAGGCTCCAGGGATGCCAGGGTAAAGTACTCTGCAGCTGAAGCAGGGAGAAGACATCATGCACCTTCATTGGATCTGCAGAACTTCCCCGCAACCTCAGGCAGTATATTCTCAGAACACCTTGATACCCATGTTTATGTAATTCAAACCAGGCAAACACAGAACCCCAGAATCTGCAGATCTCCTTTGGAAAAACTCAAAGGCATCAAGATAGAAAATGCGTATGTTGAGTGGGAGCCTCCTGCTTCTAGTTGTGACACTGTGGTTTCAGGTGCTAACTTGACCAGCCCGAAGGGTCCCTACATAGCTGGCAGAACAGTCTACGGACATATGTAAGAGGGGATTTTCGCAGCAGACTGTTCCTGAGTCAGTGGGCTGGGTGGGAGGGTATGTGCCATTGCTGTGAGGCCCAGATACACAGAAGCAGAGGCCAAGGGAACTTGTTCTCCCTTGGGAGTGAGAACATCACAATCTGGGCTCTCCCCAGCTCCAGCCGGGTTATCAGCCTTCAGATCAGGACTGCAGCACCCTGGCTCCTGTCTCCAGCCTGGAGACGTTTGATACTGTCACAGGACCTCTGCCTCCACAGTCCAGAGTGTCACTCCTCCAGTAAACACTCTCTCACTTACCTATTCACACACACTCCTACTGGGTCTGCCTCTTAGCAAAGCCTAATAGAAACAGTTTAAAATGAACGCAGTGTCACTGTGACACCCCAGGGCTTATGACAGACACAGGACAGAAATGTCTGCAGTTTTAAAAACGCATTACCTCCAGAACTTTTCCATGATTTGAACTATGTTCTTTTTAACAATAGGCAAGGTAAACAAAAGTGGTTTGTAAACTTAAGCGCAAGAAGACTCCCATTATACCGCAGGTTATTCTGCCAGTGAGCAGGTCACAGCGCGGAGGTCAGGGTGGGGAACCTATGGCACACAAGCCGGGCCACCCAGCAATGGGGCGCTGGTGACAGTCACTTTTCCCCAGATTTCTGGCTACATTCATGTCAAGGGCCACTTCTTTTTCCAAACTTCTTTTACTCTGGTTGAAGAGTTTTCTCTAACACAGCCATTTCAGACTGCTGAAAGTATCTGCGATGAAACTTTATAGTATCTATGCACATTAAACTCTTAGACTCTTGGTACACAGAGTGCCTCTGGGAGATTTAAGGTCCCTTTAGATAAGCTGGTGGGATAAGAATTGAGAGCCCTCTTCCCAAAACAAGGGTGGCTTTCCAGATTAACTCCTTGCTCACAGATGTGAGGAAAACCTGACATGAGCCATGTTTTCATACTTAAACTGCAAAATGTCCCTAAAATATAGAAAACTGTCCTAAGAATGAGAAAAGGGAAGGGAAGGAACTCTACTTTCCAGGTCTGTCTGCTTAGAGACGACACATTGTAACAAACCGAGTAATTCACACTTCTTTTTTAATAAAAGCAACTTGCTTGATAGCCCAGGCACAGCCCACACATCAGTCCTTCCTCAGGGGAATGGTCTCCTCCCGGATGCCATCCTTGGTCACAATACAGATCTTGAGGGCATCCCCAGTATACACATCCCTCTCAGCAGCAGAAATGAAGACATCTTTCACCAGACGCATGGCTCTGTCCAAAGAGAGCGGAACATGTTCGACGTTCTGCATGTTCTTGAAACCAACCTAGAGGGACAGTAGACGTGTGTGAGGTGTCACAACTCAGTGAGCCCAAAGGTCCCAGCCTCCCCCAATACCGTTCTTGTCCAAGGATGCACAGTAGATACCACATCTGAATGTCTTTAGGCCTGGCTGAGTCACATGTACCAAAACCTGCAAACACTTCAGAGCCGCACACATCAAAGTAAGATGCAGGTCAGTGGAACATTAGACAAAAAAGCATCCTAAATGAGGACACCAAGCAGGACCGTCCCAGGTAAGTTACACACGTGGCAGGTAAGTGGGTACAGATAAACCAGAGCGGAAGAGCACCAAATGCTCCTGCCTGAGGGACAGGAATGAGACAGGAGTGCATCATTTCAGTTCAGGGAAAAAGAGGTCCACGTGTAGTAGGTGACAGAAGGCGAGGCAGGCAGACAAAAGCAGAGAGGTGGCCATGCAAATCATCAAGCGTGAGCAGGATTAATTAGGGATTTAGACAGAGGCAGAAAGGATGTTGGAAATCCAACAACGTAGGTCTGAATATATTTGAGGTAACGACACAAAATTAGGAAACTCAGAAATGGTGAGTGTGGGAGAGAGGCATTTTTACAACTTCAGGTAAAATATCACAGTAAGATTAAAAACAGGGCCCTCCACTATAGATGTAAGATTCCCACAGGGCAGAGGAACACAGGCAGAAGCCAAAGACATGGGAGCAGCTGGGGGCCCTGGAGAGTCAGGATACTGTGGGTAAGTCCCACCCGCCCAATGAACTCAACAGCACCTGTGGAAAATGAAGAGGACCAGGAGGGAACTATCACGCCTGATCTTCCCCACAGCTGGGCCTCAGCTCTTTACCTGGTTGTCAAGCAAGGGCTGCAGCATGGCACTGGCTGAGCCTCCAGCCTTGAAGGAGTCTCTTTGGTAGGAGCCCACTGGATCAAAGCTGTACACAGCTCCCTTCCCTGCAGGAAGAAAACAATGTCTGTAAGGGGTGCATCCCGGCCACTGCCCAACCACAGGAAAAATACCTCCAGTCATCATTGTGAGACACAAAAAAATACATACTAACTCAGCTCAATTTCCAGCGAACAACCAGAACACATTTACTACATTTACTACTATGCAGGCAACACCTTAGGTGTCCCAGCCACTCACTCCTCCTCCTCAGGGAATACAGCCACAGGCGGCAAGGCACAAGTGCCAGGGCCAACCTGTACACTAGAAACCTTCTGCCCTCATGAAGCTAATGTCATGAGATGGTCCTGTGGCCCACAGCATGAAAGTGGCTTCACAGACATCATGAAATAAATTCCAAAAGCATAATTTGAGTGCAGAAGATAAGGTCAGACATCCTTGACAGAAACAGATAAACAGGAGGACAGGAGGCTTTCTAACAAGGCAGGAAATGGCTAAGATTGACAGATCAGACTGTGTTACTCAGATCAATGCGTCTGCAAAAGAAATCCCTCCTACAAAGGGCGGAGAGTATCCCTGGAGGCATGTGCCACAGTCACAGCCAAGGGCTGACATAACTGAACAGAATCCTTGCAAATTTACACAGAAAGCCTCATCTGCAAGTAAGGAAAGAAACCAAACCGAATACATGGGTCAGCCTCTAAGAAGAAATGCCAAAGGTCAATAAAAATAAAGATGCCCCCAAAACGTGCATTCTAATTCCTCTCGCTAGCAGAGGGCTACTGCTACATTCTTCTAGAGGCCTGGCCAGAACCAAGAATATAAAACCAATGAACAGCTGGGCATGGTGGCACATGCCTGTAATCCCAGCACCAGGAGGCCGAGGCAGGGGGATCGTTTTGAGTTTGAGACCAGCCTGGGCTACAAAGTGAGCTCAAGGCCAGCCTGAACTGCATAGTGAGACCTGTGTCAAAAAGACAAAAAAATACCCCCCAAAACAAACTTATGACCCAATAATTCAACCGGTAGGAATCTTCTAGAAGAAAAGCCTAATTAGAGAAGTACACAAAAGAGTATGTAAACTGATGTTCATCATACTGTTTGTAACAAACACCTTCAAAAGACTGGTTAGGCACCATATGATATAGCCACACACTTCCAGTCAGCCATTAAAATCAAACACACTGCCTAGTATCATAGCGTTCTGGAGGCTGAGGCAGGGGGACTGCAAGTTCAAATGCAGCCTGGGCAAGATTCTGTCTTTAAAAAACAGACCAAGGGTGTAGCCCAGTGCAAAGGTCCTGAGTTCAATCCCTAGTACTGAAAAAAAATAAACAATCATTCATATATCATTCATAGTTTTAGTAGCTTGAAACTCTCTATAATACATCATCCAGTGATCTGATGTATGGAATACATGCATATAGTATACAACTATCTCTTACCCAAAATGCTTGGGACCAGAAGTGTTTCTTGGAGGCAAGACTCAAGTCTAAACATAAAACTGTGTTTTATATACACTTTATACACACAACTAGAAGGTAATTCTACACAATATTTTAAGTAATTTTGTACTTAAAATACAGTGTGGATCCTTCTACTGTGGCAGCAGGTGGTGGTCAAACTTCTGAATTGTAAGTCATTTTAGGTTTCAGATTCAGGGTGCCCAAACTGAACTCCAGTTCTACTTGCGTAAAACTCTTAAACACACATACAACCATGTCTTTATTCTCACTGCAGAAGAACTTTCAATTTTGGGGAAAATGTAAAAGTACAACAATAAGCTCAAAGGCACAGAGGTCCCAGCAGGTGCTGACACTGACTGTGGGTCCCCTGTCTCAAATGTCTCAGTAAGCAGCGCTGGGGTCCAGGTCCCCACTGCTCCTCACAGAGGGCAGTCTGGGGAGACACCAGCAAAGGGTCTGGACTCGGGGCACCAGCTCAGAGTGGACTGAGATAGGGAAGGAATAAAAGAAGAGAATGAAATGGAAAGCTGATGTGGACGAACAGAGACCACCAGCCTCCGCTCCTCCTAGGTCCAAATGGTCGCCAAGCAGGATTCTTCTTACGTCAGCACCCATGTCGGAACACAGATGTAAGGAACTTTCCTTGAAAGAGGTAGTATCCACCTGAGCACAGAACTGAAGCCCGTCGGTGGGCGAGGCACAGCAGCACCCTCTCTACAACCAGACTTCATGGCATCACCCTTCACAGTGAACAGTCTATCAAGACAAAAATTTGAACTAGGTCTCCACATAGAAGGTGAGAAAATAAAGTTACAACTACCTAATGAAATGCAAAGAACACCACAACCCTTCAAATTAAGTACAACAATCTCTAACAAAATCAGGATTTAAAAATAAAAAGCCAGAAAGTAAGAAAAAGCTCTTGGAAATTAGACACCAGATATAAATCACTAAGAATAAAAAACTAAAGTTGAAGAAATCTACAAATAGAACAAAAAGACAAAGAGACAGACAATATACAGGATAAAAATAAGAAAATACTGTATGAAGGAGTGATCCCTGTGATGATGAGAACACAGACCGAGAGGAGCAGAAGAGGAAACGAAATGGGAGAGGAAGAAAGAGGGAGGAGGAGAAGTAGTTCGCCAGACTAGGAGCACCTCTAAAACTATCACACACAACTGAAGGCAGTCTCAAAAAAGACCTCCTGTTCTATTTTCCTAGAAATATTCAGGAGATGTACCCACCAGAGTAAAGGAAGGAATCACTAAGAAGCAAAGCGTCCAGGAAATGGACTCAAGGTGAGCAGCAAGCAAGAACCCCAGGGAGAGGGCCAAAGATGTCCTGCAAGGAAGCACACACCAGGCACAGGCTGCTGGTCCAACCCGGACTGAGGGCCAGGTCATTCGGGAAACTGTGCTTACAGCGTGCGCCAAGAAACCCGTGCCAAAGACGGTAAGTTAGGAAGCCAAAACAGAGCCTAAGAGAGGAGCTGTAATCACAGCATCCACAATGCCAGCAATGACAAGTTATGTTACAGTAGGGTGCTCAGAAGAAGACAACACAGAAAAGCCAAGACCATCTCACCAGGACAGAAACCAAAATATCACCAACATCATTATTTGTCAGAATCACACGTTGGACAACACCTCAACAGCATTAAGTTCATTGCTTGGGAAATAAAAAGTAAGCACCAGAAAATACAGGGGAAAGAGCTGGAAATGGTTCTTGGGCAACTGATGGTTTTATACATAAATAAAAATCAATGTAAAGAACAACAGAAAAAAAGCTACAGACAGCCAGGAAGAACACCCACGCCCAGAGCACTGCCACGGAAGTCGAAGGTTTTGAAGTCAAATGAAGGGACCATGGACTCCATGTCTTAGACCTGTTATCGAGTGGACCCAAGCTTTCCTAGATTCTCCTTCTGACTCCCTGAAAAACTCAGAAGGCACTGCCTGGTCTGTGGAAGTGCAACGGTGCCACTCTGAATGTTGCTAAAATATCAAAAGATAAACCTAATCGCAAGCCAGACAGAACCTAAGCCCTAGAGGCCCCAGAATGCTATGCCAGGCAAACTCATCTGTGGCTAGGGCTGAGTTATCCAGGCACTGCTACCTCTGCATTTCCTCTCGGCTTCCAAGCAAGGTGAAAAGCACTGAAGAGAGATGTGGCAACATCTATGCCTAACCCAAGAATTAAACTGACTAGAACATTTCCAGAAGTACCATCCACAGAAGTCAGAAAAGGAATGGAGAAACAAACCTGTTACAGAGAGGGGTGCGAAAGCCGACCTAAGAACATGCAGGAAGAGAGAAGAGCTCAACCTTTGCTTATTCTTCCTCACAGCACACAGAGCATCTGCACCTCCTTTCAGTCTGAAATGAAGCACACTGTCTGCTGGGATCAGGCTCGCTGCCTGGCTGAACACAAGCTGCGGCTATGGCTTGGTGATTGTTGCTAAGCCACTAGAAATTAATCCCAGGCCTGAGCCAAACCCCTCACGCCCTCATGTGAGCTCTTAACTAGGCTCCCTGGTGCCCACTCCAGCTAGGTGGAAGACCTCTGCTGCCATGGCATCAGGACTGCTGTAGCACTATCCAGGTCCATTTCCCTAACAAATGCTTTGGCCTGATCACCCTGACATGTAGTGTTTCTGTCTTGGGAACCCCAACAAGGCTTGGGTCAGTCCCCTGAAGGAATTCTATTGTCACTCTTGGAGCAACTCCAGCTACAGATCTGCCTGACTAAATAAAACAGAAGGTAAGATTTCCCCACTGTGTCTTTATCCAGATGTTTCTGTAACTTCTTACTGCAGCACACCTTTCTAAATGGTGGCATGGAGCCAGCCTGGAAGACTGTGTAAGAACTGGTGGAAACACAGGTACCCACCGGGGTGACACAGCTTTGGACCAGTAACACCACGGTCAATGACTTGACCTTCACAGGCACGCTCTCCTACTCTCACAAAGCTATTTCAGACAGATTCCAGGAACAGCAGGGCAAGGGCAAGTATTAAGCACCCCAGTGTTCCTATATTTAGTGTGTGTGCTGCCGAAACAAGCTCTACCTCCCTCCATGTTCTTAAGCTATCACTTTTCAAAAAGGTTTTAAGCCAGCTATGTTTGTTCCTTGTCACATACAGCCACACTTAAGTCCATCTTCTCTAAGTCAGATTTCTTTCTGGATAAAGATGCTAATTATGGTGTCTGTCCTTCACTCTTCCCAGCGGCAATCCCTTCCCACTTCCTGGTCAGAAAGTGAAGCTGCGGGGCCAGGCGGCCTTTAAACAGGGCTTGCTGACTCCAAGGCCTCACCCCTCTACTTGCTAGAAAACACAACTCTACCTTCTTCATCGAGGCCGCCGATGATGTTGTACACGTAGTATGGAAAGAAGCGCCTGGAGTACAGGATGGTAGACAGCATGGCGGCAATTGCTCCCGTGGTCATGGCCTTGTTGTTGGAATGCTTGTACATCTGTAGAACAGGCACGTGGAGGCAGAGCTCGTCACAGGCCAGCAGTGACCAGCACACACAGCAGATGTACACCTTAGCAGGGGAACCTGCCCGCTCCTTTCATGATCAAACAGCACAACATCACTAACATAAAATAACTTACTGCACCCTGGATTTGGGGGCTGTAAGAATTTTGAGAAGAAAAATGCTAAGTCTGTACTCAATCCTCCAGTTTAGTGTGTTTGAACAAAAGTCTATTTCCCATGTCACCTTCACCCAGGGGCTGCTAGAGTTCAGGAGCAAATGCATACAAACAGGACAGCAATGCCCTGGGCAATGTTCCCAATCCACCTGTGCCTCACTGTGCACTTAGACGAGGGGCCAAAACCTACAGCGCATGCAGTCCTGAGTAAACCCCGCGCACTACACACTTCTGCAAATCGTTGATCACCCTGGCACCTTCAGGTGATGGGTTGAACCTCTCATACACGCTGGTAGTCTCTTTCAAATCCTGCTCATGTGTCCTGTCAACTAAGAGTGCAGGGTGTAAAGAGGGACAGCACGTGTCAGCAGACTGTGCACCCAAGTTCCTGTCTCACAGTTGGGGCTGCTTCCTGCCAGAGTGACTGGCTTTGTTTTGGAGGGAAGAGTACTTTCAGGAGAAGGCTTTCATACAATCTGTAGATTTTAGCAAACACAATGTGCTACAATTTCATATTACAGGACTTCAATACTCCCGAATGTAGGGTAAGATCGTATATGATACAGTGTTTTGGCAGTTAATTTCAAACATCTTCAGCTGCTCTAAGCAGTATAATCCTCAGCAGCACAGGCATGTACAAGAGCATCTACCTTTAGTCTTGCTTCAATAATCTTTGTCAGGGTTAGACAGTCTCCATGGAAACCGCTGCATCCAATAACTGTTCTGTCTGTTCTGTAAAAAGCAGGCAGCATTTCAAGAAACTGAATTGATAAGACTATAAAACAAAACATATCTTTGCAATTTTAATTTCAAAATCCTATTCCCATTATTTTCTAAGCGGTAAAGGGACAACTAACTAGCCCTTTTGCAGTAGTGGGTCCACACCCCTAGTCTTACTAATTACAAGTAGGCCTGACTTTTTGACTATATAAAACATATGAATAGTTAAAAAAAGAAAGGAAAGAAAAACAAAGTTAAGAAAATTACTGGTAGCACATATGATCAAACTTTCATTTCAATTTCCTTAGCCTATTAAGGGCTCCTATAAATAAAAAAAATGCTTCAAGGAACTAGAATTTTCATGTAAGTAATAATATAATGGTAAAATGGGTAAAATTCAAGTCAGAGAGAACAGACACGAGTCCCCAGTGAAACACAAAGAAGAGCTTCATATCACTCACAACCTAATGAAAGGTAATTCCAGCTGACCTACACTGGCCCAAAGTACCTAAGAAATGCAGGTGAGGAGGGAGAAAACAGGCACTCTCAAAACATGGAAACAGCATAAAGTGATCTTGTGATGGGTAATTTAGGTTTACCTAGTAAAAACTTAAATGTACATTTCTTTCACTCAAGAACCCCACTACTAAAAATCCACTCTGCCAGTAAACTCACACAGGTTGGCAGGGAAAAGTTCTGTGTTCACCTGTGAGCACACATAAACACACTCCCCCACCCGATGGACTCCTTAGCAGGGGACTGATTACACACAAATTCACCGGCTGTACCTCAAAACTGGACCCCAAAGTACTTAGATCCAGAAGGAAATCTAAACCCATTTTGCTGAAAACAACCTCACCACACCAAGTCCTCCCACCTCTAAGTCAATTAAAAATAAGTATATAAACAACAACAACCAAAACCAAGACCTCCTACCACCCACAAGGCTTTACCGCCTTTACTGCCATGGTAGGCCAACAAATGGGGCAGGGCTAAGTTTCAGAACTTCAAGATGCTGCTCCCCAATATCCAGGTGCTTTAAGGGACAGAGGTCTCGTGTGGCAAATGGCAAATACATTAAATGTAGGTCAGCTGGAATTACCTTTCATTAGGTTGTGAGTGATATGAAGCTCTTCTTCGTGTTTCATCGTGTCTGTTCTCTCTGACTTGAATTTTACCCATTTTACCATTCTATTATTACTTATATGAAAATTCTAGTTCCTTGAAGCATTTTTTTATTTATAGGAGCCCTTAATAGGCTAAGGCTAAGGGCCAGGTCAGCCACTAAGGACATGGCATCCAGGTACTGATAATGCTGTTCTGTGCTACTCTCTGGCTTCGTATCCTGAGTAGTCCATAAAACAGATAGGTGCTCACCTAGGGGCACACACTATGACAGATGTTACCAAGACGAGCACAAGTTCACACTAAGATAGTTGCAAAATTATCTTCTTATTTCCTAATCTGAAATTCTAAAAGCTACATATCAGAAGAAAAGGAAAGGGCACACTGGTGGAAAGGAGGAGGAGAAAGAGGCAGAAAGGAGCTGGGATGACACAGACCAACACTGTTAAGACATGGGTCACGGCTGGGCCAGGACCCAAGAGAAGTGCATGCATCCTTGCCTACTTGTACAGCAGCAAAGAACCCAGTGCTTAGGACCCAAGCCTCCTCAAGTGCTTTCCAAGTCGGGCTGGTGTGACTAATGTTTCAGTAACAGCCACTTGACAGCATTTCTAAAACTACCAAACACTACAGGATGCTTTTGGGTGATGCACAGGTCAGGTATTTGGACATATGGCTTCATTTTCCTTCATTTTTTGGGAAAAAACTACCTAACCCATTAATACTATAAGGTGTCGATTGTAACTGCTTAGGCTACTTCTAAACTGAATACTCTGGAAAAAAAAAAAAAAAAAAAGAGTTCAGATTTTAAATACTGTTAATGGCTACTAGTGCTGTGGTTCCTCCCAAAACTCACAATGAAATTTCACTGTCACTGTGACAGTACCGGGAGGTGGCACAGGAGCTGGTGCCCTCACACAGAGATTACTGCTATCATGGTCGGGGTGGCTCAGCCCTTTCTGCCCTCCTGCAATGTTGGACACAGCATGAAGACCATGAAGTCAGATGCTGGTGCTTCCATCTTGGACTTCCCAGCCTCCAGAACAGTGAGCCCACACACTTCTGTTCCCTGTGCTATCATCCAGTCACTGGTACTGTTACAAACCCCAAGCAGACTTAGACGAAGGGACAGAGCACAGAGAAAAATGTGTTAACACCCAGCAAAATCCTAGTGGCGGATCTGGGGGATGGCACATGGCGGTTTAGTATAAAAGCACTGCTGGTATGCAAGACAAATCTCATACAAAACTACACACTGGGTTTTCAAGAAACACTCAGAAAACTTTTTTCTATGAAAATGCAAGACAAGCTGTTAAGAGGCAACATAAAAGCTCATGAATCCCTTCATGCTATAAGAAGAATCCCTTGTAGCACTGAGGTCATTACAAATGCAACATGAAAAGCATCATTAGAAATATTTACTTACAATTTGTAACATTTGGGGCTGTCCCGGGTGTGAATGGAAAAGCCCTCACTCAATCGAGTATCAGAAGCAACAATTGAAAAATCTTCTCCAGCAATTGCCAATACAGTACTGAGGAAAAACAGAGAGAAAAAATTAATTCTTCAGGGTATTAATCCTAATTCTTCAAATAGAAGAGTGCTCTACAGGAAATATTTGGAAAAATCCGTTTCAAGTGAACAAGAAGATTCAAATGGAAGAGACTGGGGGGAGAGAAAAAACTTCAGTCCTCTAGAAAAAAACCTAAGCCTAAATCAAAGCAATGCCTTGCATGAATAAGAAAGCTATTCACTGAACTATGTAGCATTACAATCTTCAAAACGGGGGGGCTGGGGATTTAGCTCAGCAACATAAGCGCCTGCCTTGCAAGCAAGCAGTTGTGAGTTTGATCCCTGGTACCGATAAAAACGAAAAAGACCCCCCCCCAAAAAAAGGATAAAAACCCACTTATACAAGACACCAATTTTTTTTTTTTTTTTTAGTACCGGAGATTGAACTCACGACCTTGAGCTTGCCAAGCTGGCACTTTTGCCACTGAACAAAATCCCTGGCAAGATGCCAATATTACAAAACAACTTGAAGGCCAAGTCTGTGGCCTGGAGAACCAACTGAGGTCAGAGAAGGGCAGCAGTTCTCCAGAAACACTTCAGATAAAGCTTCAAAAGAGCAGTTTTATCTGTGAGACCGTATAATGTGCAACAGCAGACACTCAGGTATCTGTCACCAATGAGTGCACAGAGCAGACTCTTTCCCCCTCTGGCTCTACAATTTCTGACAGCTCATGGAAAGAGGCCACTTGCTTCTGAATTATAGCTCCTCTACTTATCAGGCATGAGGTTATGGCTAAGTTATCTAACTGGTTTTTGTTTTTGGAGACAGAATCTCACAATCTAGCCCAGGCTGGACTTGAACTGGTGGTGATCCTTCTGTCTCATGCTAGGATTATAGTGTGTACCACCGTCCCTGGTGCTAGACCTCGCTTTCCTCATACATATGTCCGGGCTGCAAGAGTAGCTACTTATCCAGGTGCTGAAAGAATTAAGTGAGTTAGTAACTATGAAGTCCTTGTAATGTGTGTAACTGTTTCTAATGGTGTGCAACCATCCCTCTAGTAAACATGAGCTACAACTGTCGTGGATGCGCACGAAGACAGTGAAACACATGACTAAGCAGCAGGTTCCGGAACCACCCCAGGCAAGGCCGCCCTCTGCCACTTACTGGCTTGGACAAATGCTCCAGCTCATGATGGTGGGAAACAGTACCTGTGTGACGCGGCAACTGTGAGAACTGAGGGACGCGGTTCACGTAAAGCACCAGCACAGTGCCTCACAGGCTCCGGACACTCAGGAAACTGCAGCTACTGTTCTACTCAGCTGGGATTACACTAGGCTCTGCGGTAGGAAGGGCAGCATCCCAGCCGCCACACAGAGCAAGCAAAGAGAAACGGGCAACCACGACAGCAGCAGGCAGGCCACTCATTCAGGCTGCTGTGTGTGTGTAAGCAAGCAGAGGGACTCGCTGCTGAAGATTCCGGAATCTGAGCAAGGAATCAAGAATGAGAGCAAGGGTGAGTCTGTGGAGGGAAAGAGGAGATGGAGGGAGGCAAGGGGAAAGAGAAAAAGCAGTCGTACAATAGGACTATCACTGCCAGGTACAACTCCTGATGATGAATGTTATTATTATTTATATATATAGTACCAATTTTAAAAAGCCAGAACAGTTCCAGTTGCACAGCTGGGTATGGAGAAGACTACTCTCAGACAACACCATTAGGTGAAGTAACTGAAACACTGTTCAGTAAGACCAAGGCAACACAATGGAGCCTGGGGAGGAGGAAGAAGTGAGCACTTCTAAAAAATTACAAAAGCACAACCAGCAGAGTTTTGTTGACTACCTAAATAGGACAGAAACTGGGAAAACCATTTATGTCAGCCACAATTTTTTTTTAATTTAAGAGAAAAAAAGACACAGAAAAGAAACACAAAAAGTAAAAGAACAAACGCAAAACAGTAACAACATAGGCTTTCAAAACAGGACAGGAATTTAACACTGGTTGTTGCCTGTTGTTTTGTTTACTATCTTGAGTTATGGTGAGGTAGAAAAAATCCCCACTGAAACATTTTACTGAAGAAACAAGAACTGAGGGACTCAGGAGAAGCAGAACTGGAGAGATGCCAGAGTGCTAAGTGACAATCGCAAAGGCTAAGGGCTTAGAGAAGCTTAACTTTGTAGGAACACAGGCTGCTTGAGAGTCAGCTGCAGAAAGTGCTAAAGAAAAAAACAAAGACTGAGAAAGTTACAAGGAACTTTTAGGGAAATGATGACTTAAACAGGACTACAGGGGGTCAAAAAGTAATGGCTCCTGAGTACTGAACACCCAAAAAATCCTTATTAAAAAGAATTTACATAATCCAAGTACTGGGGAGACTGAGGAAGGATTACAAACTGAAGGCCAGCCTGGACTACACAGCAAGTTTGAGGTTAGCTTGAGTGACACAGTAAGACCTGTCTCAAAAGCAAAAATCAAAACCCCCTAACCAACAACAACAAAATAGAACTTGTAACAGTTTTGTAAATTGGTGTAATAACCGACCTTACAACAGAAGTATTTAATTAGTCATCATAGGCATTAAGAAATGTACTGGAAGCAGGCCTCCTGGCACATTCCTGGAACCTCAGCAGCTGAGAGGCTGAGGCAAGGAGATTTCAAAGAATTCCAGTTTAAGATGGGGAACTTGGCCAGATACTATTTCACAAAGAAAAAAGGGAGGCAGTGGAATGCACCGGAAAACAAATATACCTTCAGGGGTAAAACATCTATGAGTTCAAATATCCTACTCCAGGCTCACCTTACAACAGTTCTGTGACCAAGATTGCCTAACTTCATTGAGTTTTTTAAAGAAGTGACCTCTTAATGCTACTGTTCACATATTGTGAGGATTAAACTGAAACTACTAGCAGTTTACAAAATGTGTCCTCCTTGATTCTCCACCAAAGTACACAGCTATGGAAGATACGGAAATACAAATTCAAGAATTTGAGACCCAATCACCGCATTCCCCTTTATTAGTGTAGACAAGGCTAAAATCAGTCCTTCATTCTGTAACATACTCCACCAATCTGCATATTCAACATAATTTATACAAACTCAATGCTCTCGGTTTTATGAAAGAGTTGGCTTTATATGTTTTAATGTGCTAAGTTTGATAAACTAAAATTAGGGACTAACCACGGTTTCAATTCACAGCTCTTCGCTGTCAAGAATTCGAAATAATAGTGGTTTTTCTACAGCCTTATTTTTATTAAGAAAAGGCACTCATAGAAAGCTGGTAATTTAAAACAAAGGCAAACTGAACCTAACATACATGAGTAACACATTAGAGCCGGGGATTTAGCTCAGCGACACAAGCGCTTGCTTGGCAAGTGCTGCAGATCGTGGTTTCATCCCTGGTACAAAAAAAAAAAAAAAATTAAAAGGTTCCTTTTCTGTTTCCCTGAACTTTAAATGTTGAAAAAGCACCGATTTAAGCACGTGACCAACTAATCCCACCTTTTATCTAAAAGCGATTAGACATTTCAGCTCCAGATACAATCATGCATGCAGTAGCAGGGGCCAATCAACCATCACGTTCAAGATTCTGATGCTAAGCTCTACTTTCCTACTCTGACTTTAAGAACGTGTTCAGGACCTACGAAAACTAAGGTCTGCGGAGCAGAGGGTGTTTCGGTCTTCCGAATGTCACACTGCGGGAAAGCACAGACCGCGCATTCAGACATAACAGTTCGTCCGGACCGAAAAGCCCGGCAGTAGGCGAAAAGCGAGCCGCCCAGGAACCTGACAGCCCGCCCGCCCGCCGCGACCCCAAAAGCTTGCACCCGGAAGCCGGGAAGGGCCACAGCGAGCGCGAAGACCCCAGGTTTTTACCCTCCATTAAAAGCGTAGGGCGAAAAGCGCTGTTGCAAAGGGCCCGCGACGCTGTACGGCTCCATCCCTTGCTCTCTGGCGAACCCCGGGTACGAGGCCACTGTGGACAGCATCTCGCTGCAGCGTCCCCCCCTGCTGTCTCACGGCAAGATGGCGGCCGCGACCGGAAGCCACGCGACTTCCGGCTTTCCTCAGGCGCCGCTCTAGCAGGCACTCGTCGTTGCTCCTGGAGGTTCGCTTAGTGTCCAGACCTGTAGGGAGCAGGACGCCCTGTATATTAAGAAAGCTGTTAGGATACACATGTTTTCGTGTGCGTGTCATTTTTTACCCCTGAAGAACGTACTCGAATTCACGATTGGCGGACAAATACTTTTACGTCTGACGGTACAGAAAACTTGGCCAAAATGTGGAGCCACAGAGACAGGAATGGACACGGGCAGGACATAGGCGGGATTGTGCACACCTCAGGATTCCGCGATGCCACGCTGGGTTACTACTCCCCGGCCAGTACACTCGACAAAGTATTCAAATGGCTGTGTTCTTTAGTGGCTCAAGACTGGACACGACTCAAACTGCCATAAACTGCAAAACGAATAAATTAGCTAAGGAATAGTCATCCTATAGGACAGTTCACAGTCAAGAAATGAACCGGCCAGGGGCTGGGGATTTAGCTGAGCGGCATAAGCACCTGCCTTGCAAGCAGGAGGTCGTGAGTTCGATCCCCGGTATCGGTAAAAAGAAAAAAGAGAACAAAAAAAAAGTTAAAAAAAAAAAAAAAAAGAAATGAACCGGCCAGAGCTCGATAGGAGACGCAGAGAAGACACTGCTAGACAGAGCTGAGCAGAATGCTGCATAATTCAGAGTTCGTAACGAAAAGGGCCTGTTTGGTGTCGTGGTGCTGGCAATATTCTGTTTCTTCACTCATTGTACAACTATTTACCAATCTGTACATGTCATACGGACTTTGTTGTACGAATGTTGTCTTTTTGGCCAAAAAATGCAAGCACGCAAGCAAGTTAACTGGCTAATATCAAGTGGACTATCTGATGTGTACATGTGGTTCTGGAAATGGAAAAGTTTTTTAAAAACTTAATTGTTTAAAATGTTTCGTTTTAATTAAACAGAGGATAAGACAAAATATTTTCTTTATTATATATGGACAGATATATATATATATATATATATATATATATATACATACATATATACATATATATTTAGGTCGCTCCATTGGTTAACACGGTGTCAGGTACTGTCCCGGATACGAAAAAAAGTGTGTATTTCTTGTATTTAAGGAACTTAGAAAGTCACCGATAATTACCAAACACAAAAGAAACAAGGATCACAATATATGAATACACCTAAATAAGCTATAGAAATCAAGGTTAGCTGGAGCCCATTTATGAAACTGCGGTCTCTTGAGAAAATAAACACAAGCCATCCAGTTTTATTTTTCCTAATTCTGCAAGTCTGATTAGCTAACACTCATTGCGAGCACCGTAAGGAATGCGTGCTTGCCAAAGCCGTCAGTTCGTCAATAAAAACCAAAAAACACCAGTCTAAAAAATCGGGTTTCACAACGGCCAATTAAAAAAGTGGAAGCCGGCGGCCCGCCCCGGAACTGCTGCAGACTCCAGCCTCGCGCTTCCTCAGCGTCGAAGGCCGCGGTGACACGGGAGGAAACCGAAAGCCAGCTAGTGCCCTGAATGCGGTTTAGCGAGCTCAGCCCGCCGAAGCCGAGGCTGGAACTGGCGGAAGTGACGTTATCAACGCGCGTCACGAGTTCAGTGGGGTCGTCAAGGGTCGCCGTGGCGGGCGCCTGGGCCGCCCGGGGTTTAACTTGGTTTCCGCGGGCTCGTTGTCATCTCTGCAGTGACTCCAGGTAACGGCGTTTTTACCTTTTCCTGTTTTCTGATGCCTTGGGCACAGGCGACCACCGCAGCGAGGCCAGGCGACGGAGACAGGGAGGACAGCGGGATGGACGCCCAGGCCTGCAGGGAGCGTTCCTCCTGCTCGCGCCGCTGCCACTCGGCCTGTACCCGCCGCTTGGCCACGACGCCAACGGGTACCTTTCTTTGCTGCGATTTCCGTTTCACGAGTCAGGGTTCTGAGACCGGCCGGCACAACAAAGTCTGTACATCTAAGACCCAGAATCGGCCCTGTCCGGCTTCTCCTGCTCCTTGTTGGATGGCAGATTTCACCCAAGCCTGTGACTGTCCGTTTCGCCACTAGCCGGTGTGGGTTATCCTAAAGTTGGACTTGATACTTTTTAAACATGTTGTCAGAAGCCTGTGGCCTCGAGCAAGGTTTGGCTTACGATACGAACGCACATACACTCGCACCACTTTATTTACAAGGTCTGCATCTCTAAGCGCAGGCCTGCCGAGTCTCCCAAGACTTAGACGGGCTTTTCTGGGAGAAAAATGTCTGAGTTAGAGGGCCACTAGAAGGCTATGCAGAATTAATTTGATTTGTTTTTAAATATCTCCAGTTTGATGCTTCAGTTTCCAAAAGAGGAAAACACTGCAGAGTTGTTTTGAAAGGATGTTAGTGCAGTAATGATTCTCTGCATGCATGCGTGCGTGTTTGATACTGGTGAGGAACGATAGTTTGCGCTTTGCTGGGACTGAGAGATGAGCTCTGAACAGCCTACTCAGTTCTTTCTGTATACTTTAAGTTTACAAAAAGTAGTTGGTACTTGAGATTTATCCGGAATCTAAAGATTCCGGATAAATCTCAAGTCATAATTAGGGCTCTCAATCCTGCCCTCCTTTCTGTTGGCTCAATCATAGCAATTAGGCCTTAAACCAAACTTTCAGGCTCCACTTTTAATTTACCTACAGGCTGTCAAAGACTACTCATGATGCACTTCAGAATCCTATAACTGATCTTATTGTCCATGTAATAGCATCTGAAACTCTTTGTTTTGGCTTGTTTGTTTATTTTTGAGATAAAGTTTATTGGCTATCTAGTTTAGGCTGGCCTGGAACTCAGTGATCCTCCTGACTCGGCTTCCTAAGTGCTGGGATTACAGGCATGTGCCATCACACTAGGCATTTATATTGAACTATTGGATTCAGGAAGTGTATCTGCAGCGCTTCTGTTGTAACAATGTCAGAAAAAGTATTGTTTCTTGTAGCTCATACATTTATTTTCAAAAGCAGCGCTTTCAGTTTCTTTAGTGATGTTTGTAGGGTAGATAGTCTCTGAAGTCCTTTGTGTTCTTCAAGTGACTGTCACATTCTTTCATTGATTCAGCAAATGTCTGAATATTTCCTCTGTACCAGTGAGTGAAATGTGGGCCTTTGGACAATAACCTGTAACTTTGGAATATGTAAGTTCTATTTGAAAATATCTTATTAGATGATAATAAATATTTGAACTGAAGTTTAATAATGATAACAGCTAATAGTTGCCTGTATTTACTATGTAACAAGGCACATTTTAATGAGTTAACTTGGTCAGTTCTGTGTTGAATTGATCAATTCTTACAGCGTCCTTGAACAAATTGTAAGTCTGTGTGAACAGAACTGATAATAGAGGGTCTTTTAAGGACTGGGGATGTAGGTTTGGGGCAGAGCGCTTGCCTGGTGTGTGTACAGCCTTAGGTCTCATTCGTAGCAACCCTGTTCCCTCACAGCCTTTTATTTGTTTATTTTTTAAGTACAACAAAATGTTAAAGTCAGGGGCAACAATGGTACATACATTGTGCACTGTCATCCCCAAATCATTCACCCAGAGCACGAGACATCTGTATTCAATCTTCCGAACAATACCAGTACAAATCTTTCTCTTTAGTGAACTCAGAGGAATCACTAGTGTAACTATCCTAACTTTTTTATATACATATATTGTTTCTTTCAGCTTCTCACACTAATGGAACAATACAATCTTTACACGAGTGTCTTATTTATTTCACTAGTAAGTATGTTCCCAAGGTGCATCCACTTACCTATAAAAATCTCCAGTTTATCATTCTTTATGGCTGAGCAGTACTCCATTGTATAAAAGTACCACATCTTTTCTATCCATTTGTCAGTTGGTGGGCATTTAGGTTGTTTCCAAGATCTGGCCATGACAAACTGCTGCTGTAAACATGGGTGTGCATATATCACTCTCCACAGTCTTTTAGCAATCATTATTGGAAGATAATTTCAGATGTATACACAATAAAGAGATGATTTAAGCAGAGCAAATATAGGCATGTTTGCAGTTAATGTGTTCTGTAGAGCAAGATTATTACTTTTATTAAAATGTGTTTTAGTGGCTGGGGATTTAGCTCAGCAGCGTAAGTGCCTGCCTGGCAAGTATGAGGTCATGAGTTCAATCTCTGATACTATATATATATGTGTTTTAGTAATTGTTGTATCTGCTTACCTTCCTTCATAGTATTTTTATTAAAGTCAGAGCTCAATAATGATAATACTAAAGTATATTGGGTCTAGTTCTGTAGTTATTGAACTTTATACATAAGACATCACAGAGGGGATAAAATAGAGTGGAGTGTTTTAAAGTCTCAACTTGGCCTAATAGTGCTGGATATACACGCAGTACTTTACATACGTGTTCTATTGTGATAGTACAATATGCTTAAGAAGTTTTCTCCCTGGGCATGGTGGTACACACCTGCAATCCCAGCACTTGGGAGGCTGAGGCAGGAGGATCACTACGAGTTTGAGGCCAGCCTGGGCAACATAGTTCAAGGCTAGGCTGAATTACATACTGAGAGCTGGTCTCAAAAAGCGGCATAAGCGCCTACCTGGCAAGCGCGAGGTCATGAGTTCAATCCCCAGTACCACAAAAAAAACCCAAAAAAACCAAAAAGAATTAGTGTGCTCTAAGTGCTTTTCCCCAGAAGTTTCTAACACTTGTTATGGCACCATTAGGTAATTCTGCATATCATCACAGGAAACATGGAAGGGTGTGGACTTTAGGAGTCTAAGGCAAGAAGAAAATATTCCGAAATAACCTTATTGTTTTTCTTAATTTGTGTACCTACAGAACTGTGGTTATAAGACCCTATGGGTTGTGAATTACTTAAACTTCAGTGTTTTTTCTTAGCAGCACCACTATTTCCTGGTGTGTGAAGAAGACCCAGAGGGTTGCGGAAGTTGATAGGAAGAGCGAGCTGGGGATGCTCTAGGTAAAGACTGAGAGCCGCAGGAAGTGAGCACCATGGATCAGAACAGCAGCCTGCCGCCCTACGCCCAGGGCTTGGCCTCTCCCCAGGTAAGGCAGCCAGTGGGTGTGGGCACTCCCACACGGAGCAGGGTGCACTGACTGGCCTGCAGTTGAAAGTGGATTTGTTATTTGTTTTCAGGCTGTGTTTTGTAGTAAATAGTTCTCTGAATGGGCACAGTGGTTTGGAAGTTAAACAATTCGTTTGGAAGTTAAAATGTATTTGTTTATAAAAGAGCTTTGTGATAAGCACTTGGAGGAGAAAGTTGTATCTTTTCCTTTTTATGTTAAAAATTCTGAGTCACAAATCTTTTTAAAAATTTAGTAATCTCTGTTGAGGTATAATTCAAATTCAATAAAAACATCATGTTAACTATACCCTTTGATAATTTTACTAAGTTACAGACTATTTCATTCATCTAAAAAGTTTCACCTTATCCTTTGCAGTTAGCTCCTGGCCATAGGTGATGCTTTTCAGTGCTAAACATTAGTTTTGCCTGTTTGAGATTTTCACATAAATGAAGTCATACAGCATGTACTTGGTTGCTTTGCCTGATGTAACATTTTCTGTATCAGTAAATAACGCTTTTTGTTGCTGAGTAGTATTCCTTCATATGGCTCACCACAGTGTACCTATTCTCTGGGCTCTGGCATTTGAGTTATTTCTAGCTTGGGGGCTGTTATATGTAAAGCACCATAGACATCCATGTTGTACGTTGTGTTTTTATTTGTTTTGGGTAGATACTTACTAGGATTGCTAGGTCATGTGCAAGAGTATATTAAGCGTGATAGCAGATCTGTCACACTGTCTTCTGTGTCTTGACCTTTTTGTGATTTACCAGCCGAGGGAAGAATTCTAGTCACTCTGCTTCCTCTCCAGCACTGGGCTTGCTGGTTGCTCTGGGTGTCATCCTTTGCTTTCCTCCATTCTAGTGGTTGCTTAGTAGCATTTGATTGTGTATGTCTATGTATATCTGTGGTATGGGGATAGAACCTTGGACTGCTCTACCACTGAGCTACCATGTATTATTTATTTTGAGACATGGTCTGGGTAAGTTGCTCACGCCAGATTTGGAGTCTTGCTGCTTCAGCCTCCTGAGTAGCTGGGGTTACAGGCATGCACCAGCGCACCTGGTGCATGGTGGTAATAATTTCTGTTGATGACTAATGATCCTGAGGATCTTGTCAAATGCTTTATTGGCTGTTTATATATCTTCATTTGCAAAATCTCCTTTACATCTTTCATCATGTTTTACTGATCTGTTTGTTTGTTTTGTTTTCTAAGAGCTTTTTGTAGGTTTGTTGTGTTGTGTTGTATTGTTTTGGTGGCCCATTCTCACTATCTACCCCAGGCTGGCCTCTAACTCAGGACAGCCATCCTCCTGCCTCAGCCTCCCGAGTCTGAGATTATAGGAATGCGCCACTGTACCTGGCAGGCCTAAGAGCTCTTCAGATTTCTTTCTCACATGTACATAATGTGGATGTTGTTCTCTCAGTTGATGGCTTGCCCTAGAAGTTCTTAAGTTTTTTCTGAAGTCTATCAGTTATTTTCAAGGATATAATGTATCCTCAGAAATTTTTGTCTCCCTAAAGTCCTAAGGATTTTTCTCTTTATACTGTATTTTTAGTTTTAGTTACATCTATGAGCTGTTTGAATTAATTTGTTACATGTGATTGAAAGGAAGGCTGACCTTTAAAGTGACATAACCTGACTTTTTTCTCACAGATATTCTTGGAGAAACAAATGATAGGTGAAATAGAACTTAATACCTAGACTGTTAATGGCTACAGTGTAGATTTACCCTTCTTTTGTGTGCTGCCTGCCCTATGTTGTTAAAACAACCTGAGTATCTTACTTGTCACATTTGCCTTGTGCTTTCTACTAGAATAAGTGGGGCTGGCTCTTTTTTTTTTTTTAATCTTGCATGTATTTGAGAATCTAGTGCAAACTAGGGGCCCTCTCCACACAAAATACATGCAGATACTGCTGCACATACTACAAGGTGTGACTGAAACCGTGGTGAGTGGGCGTGGTGGCTCACGCCTGCAATGCCAGCACTTGAGAGGCTCAGCCAGGCGGACCACTGTGAGTGTGAGGCCGGCCCGGGCTACAAAGTGAGTTGAAGCCCAGCCCGAACTGCTTAGCGAGACCCTGTTTCAAAAAGAAAAAAGAAAACCATGGTGAGTGTTTAAACTTAAAAAACTTATTATAATAAGAAACACATTGACGTTTGTCCCCTTCAAAATCTCCCATTCACTTTGAATACGTTCACCTGTCATTCCTGCCACTCTCTGAAACAGCGCTTAAGTCCTCTTTCTTATCTTTAGTTGCGCTGTTGTAACTACTTTTGAGGTTAATGTTTCGTGGTCATTCTAACTTTGGGGGCGGGAAGCCAGAAGCCACTGAGTGTGCCTGGCCCTGTGAGTGAGGTGGACGGGGACACACTGTGAAGGTTCTTACAAGCCTGCCTTTCTGGTGGGTGGCACTGGGCGGCAGAGTTCACTGTGTTTTTATTACGTCTTGTAAGAGATCCACAAAGCTGTCCCCAGGCCTTGCAAACTCAGCTCCGCTGCTTTCAGTGTGCTGGAGGCACTGGCTTGTGTCTGTAGACCTGGTCTCACCTGCTCGTGAGACCTGTGTCTCTGGCCACATTGCATGCCTTCTTTGGGCATCAGCGTCTTATCTTCGTATGGGAAGGACAGTTCTGTTCTTCTTTCCCCAGGACTACTGTGAGACTTAGATAAATCAGCAAATGTAACAGTGTCTGGGAAAGCTTGGATGTGTGGTGGAAAGGCAGAATGGTACTATTATTTTGTAGATTTATGCTTTTGGAATGGCAGATGACCAACTGTTTTGAATAATAGCCTAATTGTCATCATGGTTAATAAAATGACACTTTGTTTTGTAAGTGCCTGTTTTTCTGTTCAGCATTTTGGGTGAGTAACTCTAGGCTGAGCATATAATTGACCATCCACACTGGGACAGACACTCAGATAATAGAAAGGGTGCTATCTCAGGTGCTTGAACAGAGATGTGTAGTCACGTGGTTTTCTCCCTTTGTTCTTTGTAATAATCATAGTTGGTTGTTATAACCTAGATATGCTTGAAAGGTTACTCCACTTCCTGTTTTCCTATGTTCTCACATGTAATATGTAGTAGGGGATTCCAAATCCCAAGCTCTTGTCCACCATGTTGAGTATTGAAAAGACAGTTTTGTGTTTAAGAGTAGCAAGCTCTTACCTAATAATGTCTGGTTACCAGTGTCCTCAGAAAGCATCTCCCTGTACACCTTGTACCTGTGGTTCCACTGGAAAAGACCCACCAACCTTTCGTGCCAGCACCTGGCTCATTATTTCTTTTGCATCCCACAGAGCGCCATGACCCCTGGGATCCCCATCTTCAGTCCCATGATGCCTTATGGCACAGGACTCACACCACAGCCTGTTCAGAACACCAACAGCCTGTCTATTCTGGAAGAGCAGCAGAGGCAGCAGCAACAGCAGCAGCAGCAGCAGCAGCAGCAGCAGCAACAGCAGCAGCAGACAGTGGCAGCCGCAGCCGCAGCTGTGCAGCAGGCAGCACCTCAGCAAGCAGCTCAAGGGGCCTCGGGCCAAACCCCACAACTCTTCCATTCGCAGACTCTAACAACTGCACCCTTGCCGGGCACCACCCCCCTGTACCCCTCCCCGATGACCCCCATGACCCCCATCACTCCGGCTACACCAGCCTCGGAGAGCTCTGGGATCGTGCCGCAGCTGCAGTGAGTATTTGGGGTTGCGCGTGTGCTCTCCTGTCCCAGACAGGTCCCCTGGAGTGTGTTACTCTGTGCCTGCAGAGGGCTCGGTTTGCCTGAGGGAGTGGAGCAGCGCTGGCCCTCTGTCTCCGTGACGGAACCACAGCTGTCTGTGAAAAACTGTCCTAAGAGTTTCCGAAACAAGGCCGCTTGTTTGGATGTACTCGTGCCATTGAAACTGAAGCCTGGTTTTGGTGTAGTAGACATTGCCCTGCAGCAGGTTTGCTGCCCAACTTTGTATGGTAGGGTTTGTCACAGGTCGCCGTGGTACTTGTTTTTCTTGTATTTATTGTGAGAGTTGCTACAAATCTCTGAAGATCTGCGTCCTTCACACAAGATAACAGTGATGGTTCTTGTCGTAAACGAGAGTTTTTCTGTCTGAGTGAAGTGAAGCCGTATTTCTATGTAAATCAGTAAGACCTGAATGAAGTGAGCCATCAAAACGGTGGGGGTGGTGACTTTTTCTTGAAATACAGATGAATATTGCTGGGTATCAATCAGTGAGAAGCATATAGCTTTTACTTTTGGGGAGCTTAACAGTCAGGAAGTTGCAGTTGGCCCTTTTCTTTCTGCCTTTAGATCTGGTATTTCCCATTTGCTAGTTAATCATCCTGTACTTAAGTGCTTGTCGTTTATAATGGATCCTGACCATTGCCTAGAGATGTAAATTTTGCTTCCACAATTTTGTTTGCCTCTACACAACGTTTTTTAAAAATAATTTTAATGAGTTTAGGAAGAGATAATCTGTTAGCACATCTTTGTCTCCACTGCTCCCAGTTTCTTGCATTCTTGCTTCCCATGAAAATCCAAATTTATATTTTGGTTTAAATCATAAAGTATAACCAATTTGGGACAGATTATTCTGATACTTCACAGGAAATTATTGCGTTTTCATTATCTAATAAGAGCCATATTAGGTGGGAATTCATTGGGCTTAAAACCTTGTAGACTTACTAAGAAGTAAGGTAAATATTTAACTAATGAAAATAGATGAGTACATTTACCAATTACATGATGCAGTTTGCGATAGGTGGACCAAAACTGACTCAATACGGATACACTTGACAGATGGCAAGGCTGAGGGCAGGTGTGTGCACAAAGGTGAGGAAGCTGGTGTGGTGGTACATGCCTGTACACCAGCATTTGGGGGACTAAAGCGGGGTTGCTGTGAGTTCAAGGCCAGTCTGGGTGCCTAGCGGGTTCAAGGCCAGCCCAAACTGTTCGTTGAGACTCTGCCTCCAAAAAATAAAAAACAAAAAAGTGCAGGAAGAAAACAGATGATGCAGAAGTAAAACACAGCCTTTTGGCTGTTTGATCATATATCAAAGGAGACTACTATCTTCTCTCGCTCTCTCTTTCTCTCTGTCTCTTTCTCACTATGAAATCAAGCTGGCCTTGAACTCACTAGGTAGTCCAGGCTAGTCTTGGATTCGCAGTGATCCTATTCCCTCACCCTCCTGAGTGCTGGGATTCCTGTGTGTGCCATCACGCCTTGGGAACACTACGGTTCTCAACAAGATTATGAGCTATCAGATTTTCACAAGTATTGCTGACAGTACAAGAAGTGGAACAGAAACAACAATGAGCTGGAACCTGTAGTCTGTGTGCAGAGGTGGTGGAATAGTATGCGTTCCTATTTGCTGCAGTATGGCATCCCATAATTAGGCCCCTCTAGAGCAGCAGTGAAACAGTCAGATTCCTGGGTCATCACTTAACACCCATTGTGTAAAGGTTAATTACTGTAATTCAAGTAACTATGTTCTCTTTTCAAATTTCTTACAGAAATATTGTATCTACAGTGAACCTTGGTTGTAAACTTGACCTAAAGACAATTGCACTTCGTGCCCGAAACGCTGAATATAATCCCAAGGTAAGAACTATTTCCATGTGCTTTAAATCAGCTGGTAAAATGGGAATCTTACAGTATTTTCTAGTTCAAAAAGTTTGTGTTATGTTTAAGGTTTTTTTTATTTGTTTGTTTGTTTGTTTTTGTGGGTTTTTCTGTCTTTTTATCTTTTTACCAGGGATCGAACTCGCGACTGCCTGCTTGCAAGGCAGGCGCTTATGCCGCTGAGCTAAATCCCCAGCCCCCTGTGCTTAAGTTTTTGACAACAGTAAAATGAGTATGTGGAGTAAAATTCGTATGACCTAGTACATACGATAGTAAGTTTATTCAACTTGAACTTTAAAGTATGTACCATGTACAAGTCTCTTGAGATTAGGCAGTTTATGAAGTAAACTCAGTTTATATACACTTCTCATTGTAGTGGGGACTGGTGAAGCTGGAGGACAGGATATGGTGCCTATAATGTTTCGAACTATGTTATCTTCAGTAGAATTGTCTGTATCATCAGGCATAGTATAATTGAATATATTAATAAAAACAAAACATTGGAGACATTAGAAGACTTATCCTAGTGAATTTTATCATCTTCAGTGTAGTTGTCTATACTCGCAGACTTGATACTATCAATCATAACAGATTCGAATAAAATCAGTCAATACAAAACAGTGATCTAACAAACCAGATTCAAATAAGTTCAGTCATAATAAGACAGTATAAGTAATACAGGGCTTCAGGTTAAGTTAATAGGAAATTAAGAATGATTACTGTACTATATCCTGCTATTTCTGGAATAGCTGTCTGGGCCCTCAAATCTAGTACAAGTAGACAGATTGTAATAGAATATAATCCATCTAAACAGAGTGGTGAGAGTAATGTAGATTTTAAATCCTGATACACCTGGGGGCCAGGGATTTAACTCAGCGGCATAAGCGCCTACCTTGCAAGCACGCAGTCATGAGTTTGATCCCCAGTACCAAAAAAAAAAAAAAAATCCTGATACACTATTAACAATATCCTCTGCCTTCCTTTTTTAGACAGTTCCTCCCCTTTGACTCCCACAGGGTGCACACTGCACATTTTGGGTCCTATCAACTTCCCTCAGTTTTTAGATTGGAGGGGCAACCTGCTATTTACCTAAGTGGTTCCAAACCTTCTCACTCCTGGGCTTGATCTCAAGCTGTATTCCTTTACCTACAAAAGCCTCAAGGTGTTCCTTTGTTATAGCTGAGTAGTTCTCTACTGCACAAAAATATCATGTCTTTCCAACTATCTGCAGGTGCTGGTAAGAGTTGCCCCTATTTCTCTCTGGTTCTCTGCTGTCACATAGAGCATTATTTTCTCATATTTGATTTTTGGTCCATAAACCCTCTTTCTTTAATTATATTTCCTATACAGAGCATCTTGATGAGCCCTACCTCCTGATCTACTCTGCCAGTGTTTCTTTTTGTTAGTGTATCAAGACCATCTATGTTAGAGATTATAGCCTTCTCTGCCTCATTTCTGCTATGCTATTTTTCTGCCATTAGTTGTCTACTTTTCTCCTTCATTCCACTGTCTGCCCCATTCATTAAGGCCTCTCTACCACTGTTTCTGTATTTTTTTTTCTTTAGAATGTCATTCAGTGTTTTAGGTAGGGTTGGATTGGTGGTCACAAATTCCCCCAGTTCCTCTTTGTCATGGAAGCATCTTGTTTCTCCATTAATTTTGAAAGAGTTTTTCAGGGTACATAAATCTGGGTTGGAGGTTATTTTCTTTCAGGGCTTGGAATATTTTGCTCTAAGCTCTTCTTGATTTGATGGTTTGTGTTGAGAAGTCATAATTTTGTTGGGTTTTCCTTTATATGTGAACTGTTTCTCTGACAGCTTTTAATATTCTGTTCTTGTGATGAATTTCTGGGATCTTGATTATTATATGTCTGGGTGTAGTTCTGTTTTGGTTGTAGGTGGCTGGAGTTCTGTATGCCTCATACATCTGAATATCATTTCCTTTTCCTATACTTGGGAAGTTTTCCTTAATTATTTCTCTGAATAGCCTTTGTAATTCCTTTGTGTTTATCCCTCTTCTTCACTCACATATTTTATTAAGTTATAGATCCTCTTGTCGTCTTCTAGCCTTTGTATTGTTACCACCTGTTTCCTTGGTTTTTTATATTTATTTATTTATTTATTTATTTATTGTCTTTTTTGAAACAGGGTCTCACTATGCAGTTCAGGCTGGCCTTGAGCTCACTTTGTAGCTCAGGCTGGTCTTGAACTTTCAACTATCCTCCTGCCTCAGCCTCCCGAGTGCTGGGATTACAGGCATGAGCCACCACGCCCAGCTTTCCTTGTTATTTTTAAGAGGTCTTTCTTGTCATGATCAGATATTGCAAACCTATCTTCAAGTTTTGTTAATCTATCTCTAGTTTCTGTCGGCAATTTTTCCAGCTTTCGATGGAGTTTTTAATTTCCTGGTAGTCCCTTTGAATGTTTCATGTATTCTAGGTTTTCTTTATATTCATCATCAAAGGTTTCTCTCCTTTTTTTTGTGTTCCTCGATTCTTCCATCTGTGTCTTCTTGAGAGATGCTTGGCATTTCTTTTATTAATCTATTTATATCTTGCTTTACTTGAATTAATATTTCACTTTTGAGCTCATCTGTGAGATCCCGAAGATATCTCGTTATGTCCACTGATGCTGTGTCTGATATTGCATGTTTGCTGCCTCAAACTCTTCTGTATTTACCTCTCCTGAATCAATATTCACAGGGTTGGAAGCTGGGGGATTTTTCTTATTTCTTCTCTTGTCATGTTTTTGGTTTCTTCCATACAGTTGTATGGTGGAGGTCCCAGTCCCTTTCCTTGTTGGTTACGGTTCTTCTAGAGTATGCTAGTCAGGGATTTCTGCCCTCTCCATTTTGCTGTTGGGCACCAAGGTACAAGCAGGGGCAGTGTATGCTGGCCCTTCCTCTCCGAGCCAGTCAACCCATGGGGGCCTTCACCTCGCTAGTGTATGCCACACATACAGAATCAGTTCGGGACAACTTATTGGGTCCTGGCCAGGGGCATGACCCAGCCCAAGCAGATCCCACCAATCTGCTCTGGGCAGGGAGCAACCAACTGAAGTCACTGCCGTTCCTAGTTCATGCCCATCCTGCCTGATTCCAACACATTGTCGAGTTAGTCACCCCTTTCCTGTGGGAGGGTCTTATTCAAGCACTCACTCTGGGTTAGTGCAGGTCTCCACGACAGCTCTGTTCTCCTTTGGGCTCGCTGACCCCCTGCACCTCTGGCAGCGAGCACACTGTGGCTGAGTGTGGGCAGCTCTAGCAAGAATCCCATGGGGCGAATCTGAGCTGCTGCAGTGGTAGCCCCACAATGGCACACTGGACCAGCTCTTTTCCCTTTAGTTTCTTCCTAGGTGGAGAGGATCTATCTCCCTCTGTCTGGTCCTCTCTAGGATGTTTTATTCTGGCATCTGAGTTGTTTCTCTCAGGGAGGCTCTGTATTTTGCTGCTTACTGATCTGCCATCTTAAGCTCTGCCCTTGTGGGACTTTTAAATCTCAAGTTGGTTGGCTTGCATGCACATGTGTGTGTGTTTGTGTGTTGCTGCAATGGAACTCAGGACCTCATACATGTAGTTAGAGTCATAGTTTATTCACATGTTCTAGTTCAGTAACGTCTGGGAGGCTAGAAGTGTTTATACAGACCATTGACATCCACATTCTGGTATCATTTTTGTTGTTACCAATTTAAAATCTTTAGGTGTTAACTGAGTTCTTTGTTTTGAATGCTTAGAAGAGCGGGGTAATAGTTTATTATTTATCTTTAATAACCATTACATAAAAATGAGAGTAGAGAGTAAGTAAAAATTGGTTAGTGGCCAGTGTTTTTGTCTTCGTCTTAAATTGTCTAGATATTTGAAGATCTTCTAATTTTTGTGTGAGATCTCAAAGGGTCTAGAGCACTATGAGCCTCTTAGTAAGTCTCACTGGAGCACTGCAAGTGCAGTCATTGGTCTGTCACAGTCTTTAGTTAAATGGATAATTTTACAATATCGAAATCTGTGTTACAGTGCTAGTAATTCTCTGACCAATAAAATGTTAGATTAAATGTAGAAAATTCAAAGTAATTGGACTTTTTTTGGACTTATATAAACTAGAACATGCTTCTGGCATTTTTATAGGCAATAAGATTGGGGGAACACAAGACCGGTCTTTGTAAGTGTCAAGGCAATCTTTCTTTGTGCATTAGTCATCTTGGTGCTTGAGAATGTAACTCAGTAATAAGCATGTATTATTAAATTTTTAAATTACTTGAAAATAGGCTTTTGCCTTGTTTCATAAAACCTATTAACTGAAATCCACTGTTGAGGTATTTTTTCCCCTTCAGTTATAACCTTGGGAAAAGTTTTCTCAAAAAGCAACCATCATTAATATATAAAAAATGGAAAGTGAAAGCTTTTTTTCTCTTTATATGTATGTGTTTAATATATGAACACTATAGCTAAGGACCAGCTGGAAACAAGGTCTCACTTCTGTGCATACGGATATGAAATCTGGTTTATTAATCCCTTTGGGAAGTAGAAAGAGATTATCAGTTGGCCTAAAAATTCATGTTAATAAAACAAAATTTATATTTAGAGATGCTAATCATAAGGAGGAAATAGGCTTTGATGTTTTTGAGGAGATTAGGCTGACAATGTAGCTCAGTGGGTATAGCATTTGCCTACATGCACAAGGCCTTGGATTCGATTCCTAGCACCCTCTCCCCCTCAGAACAATACCACATTACAAAACCCAAGGTTCCCAAACATGCTTTGTCCCCTTGTGGTGCGGTTTATGTGTAAAAAGACACAGGTCTGAGACCTTGGAGTAGCTCATTAGCCACAGTAAGGAAATTTGTTCTTCTCCTTGTTACGAGTGATATAAGAAGATCTTAGTGTGCAGGACAAGTATTTTGACAGCTGTGTGAATTAGGTCTTTCCCATTGGGTGTCATGGTCTTTATCATTTTCTAGCTCTCCAAAGCATGGCAGTTTGGGCGACCTCACTAATGCTTCTCTCACCATTTTAGCGGTTTGCTGCTGTAATCATGAGAATAAGAGAGCCGCGAACCACAGCGCTGATTTTCAGTTCCGGGAAGATGGTGTGCACAGGAGCCAAGAGGTAGCCGTAAGCAATTCATTCTCCTGTTCTGTGTGTAATGAAGGAAAAGGCATCGGTCACAGTTTCTGGGTTTTCAGGCCAGCACTTCAAAGGCTACTGTTCACTTTAGGAAGCATTGGTTTCCTTTTCTTTAAAACAAGCATGAGTTTTCAACATGGTACAGTGCTTTCTTTTATATAATTCAGATGTATTTTATATTAATATAGCATCAAAACCTAGTAAAGATTCTTTTATACTTAAAAGGTTTTTTATATAAAACATTTCATAAAAATACTGATAAAGATCACAAAACTTGGGCTGGGAGTTTAGCTCAGTGGCATAAGTGCTTGCCTTGCAAGTACAAGGTCATGAGCTGGATCCCCGGTACAAAAAATAATCACAGAACTTCACAAAAGCTGGTGTGGGGCGTCACAGATTTGTTGGGTCTGGCAATGCGACAAGACTGTGTGTTTTGGCTACAAGTACCAGTTGCCCTCCATTGGAAGAAATTTTAATTGTAGTGAGTTGTGCATGTCTTTGAGGAATGCACCCTTGTCATGTAAAGTGTGTTCTCCATCTCTTGGGAGCACGTCAGTGCTCAGGGTCCCATACTGTTCTTAGCCTTCTTTAACACAGCCCATGTATAGTGTAAGTCAAAAACTTCTAAAAACAGGAAGATTAGTTACATCAGCTTCATAAAATTTAAACAAATGAACTCAGACTTTTTTTTTGTACTGGGGATCAAACTTGTGACCTCACACTTGCAAGGCAGGCACTTATGCTGCTGAGTTAAATCCTCAGCCTCTTTTTTGAGACAAGGGTCTTACTATGAGTTCAGGCTGGCCTTGAACTCACTTTTGTAGCCCAGGCAAGTCTCAAAATTATAATGAGTCTCCTACCTCAGCCAAGTGCTGGGATTACAGGTGCATGCCACCACACCTGGCCTGAACTCAGACTTTGAAAATAAAAGATGATTAAAATATACTTGTAGATGGGGGCTGGGGATTTAACTCAGCAGCGTAAGCACTTGCCTTGCAAGCACACGGTTGTGAGTTCGATCCTCGGTACCCATTTAAAAAATACACACACACACACACCTGTAGGTGCCAACATACGGAAGCTTAAGATATTTTAGCTTCTTCTGAACTTTCAAATCCCCTTTTAATGAAAAGAAGGCCATTGGTGTGGACATCCTATTTCCTAGTCTCCAAGTCTTTGAGAAGACAGGACATGAAGCTGTCTGCAGCTCCGTCTTCCCTGGCTTCAGCATGCAGTGCTGACACTTCGTGCTGTGAATGGAACAGCAGAGCTGTTTTCTTCTGTTTCCTGAGACAGACTTTCCATGTTGTGTTTAGTCCTGTTTGTTCCAGAGTGTCTGCTGGCTAAGGATTGTATATCTAGTGGGATGCCTTTTGATCAGCCTAGAAAACACAAATTTATTTTCTTGGAAAAAAATACAGAAGCATGTGTCATAGGTTTAATTTCACCCTTCTGATCCATGTTCTTGAGAGTGTTTTGTCTGTGGCATTGCTGTTTGTATTCTGCTTTTCTTACATAAACTTGAAGCTGCTGAGTCATAGTTGTATCCAAAAATGTTGTCCTCAGAGTGGATAAAGGGAGACTTGATACACAGGAGGACATTTAATATGTTCATTTTTCACCTAGGAAAATTCATCCAGATTTTTCTATCAAGACGAAGCTTATTAGTTTTTATTGCCTTGTAAAACATTTGGTCCAGATCCTATCCCTGAAACTCAAGCTCAGTAATTTGGCTGATTTTTTGGGTAGGTTTGTGATTTTCTGTTAGGGACACAGGAACACTTTATAATTAAACTGTTAGTGTGTTGTGTTTTTTTTTTCTCCTATTGAAAAGAGAGTGACCAGTTTGCATGCTAATACTGTTGTTTCCTGACTTGGATTTTTTTATGTTATTCCTCTAAATAATTATGTAAGCTCACTCAGTCTAGTTACTCACTTTTATCCTTTCCCTAGTGAAGAACAGTCTAGACTCGCAGCAAGAAAATACGCTAGAGTTGTGCAGAAGTTGGGTTTTCCAGCCAAATTCTTGGACTTCAAGATTCAGAATATGGTGGGGAGCTGTGATGTGAAGTTTCCTATCAGACTGGAGGGGCTGGTGCTTACCCACCAGCAGTTCAGCAGGTAGGTCTGCAGCGTGCATGGTCACCACCATCTGTCAGTACTGGAAGCTCTGTTCAGGACAGACTGCACATGCATTCCCCGGTACGGAGCACCACGAGTACCCTCGGTCGTGCTGCTGAGTTTCCTGCTGCCCATAGTCGTCTCTCTTAACCCTTTAACTTGGCATTTTACACACACTCGTGTTACCAGACTGAACTCTATCCCACTTTTGTACGTTCATCATTGTTTCTTTCTTTTTTTTTTTTTTGTCTTTTTCCTTTTTATTGGTACTGGGGATCGAACTCACGACTGCCTGCTTGCAAGGCAGGCGCTTATGCCGCTGAGCTAAATCTCCAGCCCCTCATCATTGTTTCTTGATAAACATTTCAAACATGTGAATTGACCCCAAGACCCAGTGCATCACTTTTTTCCTCCTTGGCATCTTTTCCTCAACATCACATCAGATCTGCCAGCTAAGTTTAACACCAAGTGACAGAAACCTCAACTCTTACCTGCTGCTTACTGGTGCAGGCTCATGACAGACAGTTCACCTCACAGACTTGCTTCACCATCTTTTGCTCTGTTTATGACTGTCAGTTTCCCCTCCCCCATCTTGCCCCAGTGCCTTTGCATATGCCACCTGTGTACCTGGCAAACTTTAACATTTTACCTCAGTCAGGCCTATCCTAAATTTTCCTGTGAGCCAAACACACATAGAGAAGAGGGCTGATGGTGTCACTGGTGGATAGACTCATTCTCAAGCCAGCATCTGGTGTGTCACTTTAGTTAAGTAGGCTGGTTCGAGTGCAGTGGTGTTTACAACTGACTGGTCACTTTAGTTAAATTGCCCAGCCAAAACTGACAGCTGGATATGGCTTTTTAGTTTAAGTCGAGGTACAATTTTAAAAGGCAAACTGTGTTATCAGCTCTTAGAATTAAAGTACTAGGTTTTTAAGGTCACATAAGTAAACTTGTCCAGAATAAATCTGGATATGGATCAGAGAACAGAAGATAAATACTCAGCTCCTACTGTTGTCTCAGGAATAGGATCAGTGTAAGGAGGACGGGAGTCAGTAAGTGGTCAGTAAGAGGTTGACCAGCGTGGCTAACCACATGCTCTAGTGCCACCGAAGAGCCTGCTCCTCAGTCTTGCCCTTTCACGGGCAATCATTTTCCCTAAAAACACAGAAAGCCCCTAATATTTAAACATCTTTGTCATTTTCCTTCTAGCTATGAGCCAGAGTTGTTTCCTGGATTAATCTACCGAATGATCAAACCTAGAATTGTTCTCCTTATTTTCGTTTCTGGAAAAGTTGTATTAACAGGTAAGGTGCAGCAGCAGCTGGCTTCTGACAGTTTGAGTCTCAAGGGTGGCATTTCTGCAGTGTTGAGAGGAGCTTTCGGCATGGGAACAGTTGGCTAGCAGCTTGTAAAACCAAAGGCCTTCACCGCTGAGAAATGAAGCCGAGTGGGAGGGAGAGCAGGGGAGTCTGTCTGCAGCCCTGGAGCTGTCGGCTTGGAGAGGGCAGGCGGGGGACAGGGAACGGTGAGGCGAGCCTTCTGTCAGTGGGCCCCCGCCACTGTTTGGAGACAGTCAGGGAAGACTGAGCAGAGCCCTGCTGGAGGCAGCCCTGGAGGCGCTCGTTCTTGGCACTGCCTGCTGGGTTTGTAACCTGGTGGAGATGCAGGGCTGTGTGCGGGTGTGAGCTGTAGGAGAGCAGACCAAAGTGGCCATGAGTATTGCTTTGGTCATTTAAAAGGTCACTTTCTGCCTGGCAAGTGCAAGGTCGTGAGTTCAGTCCCTGGTACCAAAAAATGAATGAATGAATGTCACCTTACGTCACCTTACGATTTTTTATTTTAAAAATAAAACTAGGATTGTGACCAGGGTTCTTGCCATTAATGTTTTAATGGGTCTGTCAACGTGGATATGGAGAGGACTCTGCTTGCATCTTGAGGGTAATAATTTTACCTGAACGTTAAAAACGCCATTTCACACTCGTCTCTCTTCCTTTGTGCCTTCATAGGTGCTAAAGTCAGAGCAGAAATTTACGAAGCATTTGAAAACATCTACCCCATTCTAAAGGGATTCAGGAAGACGACGTAGTGGCTGTCATGCGTTCCTGTTCCCCCAGCGCCCCCTGTTCTTTAAGCAAATCAGTTTGGTACCTTTCATGGTGGTGGTGTGAGAAGACGGATGCTCAGGTGTAGGCTGCATCACAAGCAGCTCTTCTGGCCAGGCCCCCGTGGGATGCCGGGAAGGGCTACTCTCCTGCACTGAGAACACCGCGGCGTTACTGTGAGTTGCTCGTACTGTGCTGCTATCTGGGCAGCGCTGCCCGTTTATTTATATATAGATTTTAAACACTGTTGACAGGTTGGTTTAAGGGATAAAACTTGTAAGTGATGAAGCCACCTATACAATTGGACTTATTTTGTTTAATTTTTTCCCCATAAACCACAGTTTTTATATTTCTACCAGAAAAGTAAAGATCTTTTTTAAAAGTGTTGTTTTCTAATTTGTAACTCCTAAGGGTTATTTTTGTGCCAGACACATTCCACCTTTGCAGTATTGCAGGACAGAATAGATGTATTAATGGAAACAAATGGCTGTACATATTTTTCTTTCTTCAGAGTTCTCTGTACAATAAATGCAGTTTACAGAAGTGGTAGGTTGTTGTTATGCCTTGTAAGTCACGTGATCATACTGTTACAAACTGTATTTTAGATACAATGGTTGAAATCATTGTGGTGTTTGCTTGTCATTCGTTTTAGTGTTCATTGTATGTCACTTTGTTTGTCCAGTGAAACAGAAAACAGACCAGAATGGATTCAAGGCTGTCCTCCAGGTATGGAGGTGGGCACCCAAATATTGAGTCTTCAAAGGCTGCTAATTATTTGATACTTTCGTGAGGGGTTCCTCAATCCCACTGGAACACTAAGTGGACCTCTGTTATGTTTCTGGGTTTCATTAGATTTCTTTTCCTTTTGAATTGTGAAAACACATTCTCACATGGCTCATATATTCAGAAAGAGGTGGTCCTTTCCTCCTTTCCTGTTTAGACTAGTGTTAAAGCTACATTTTATATAATTCGACCCTTTGAGGTACTTTGCTTCTGCTTTGGAGAAGCAGTAAAGCATACAGTATTCCAGTTGGTTTGGGGTGGCAGGATCTCATTACATAGTGCAGGCTGGTGGCAATCTCAGTGGTGACCCTCCTGCCTCAGCCTCCCAAGTGCTGGGATTATGGGTATGTAGACCATACCTGGCAGCATTTGTTTTGTGGCTTTTTTTCTTTCTTGGGGTCAGTAAGTCAAACATTTCTACAAAATATGGTCTGTCCTTTGTTTTTTAGTAGTGAACTGAGGACCTCACACATCTAGGTAAGCAGTGTAGAAAGCTCTTGAAGCTAGAAATTGACTACACCTGCAGCGCCAGCCCCCTAGGTCCAAGCACAAAGATCACCCAGGCAAGCCATAGAAACAAGTGATGCCAGGCCCTTCTGTGTCACACATGCACATTACCAGGCAGCAAGTGTCACGTGACATTAAGTTGCTAGACATGTAAGTAATCAGCCCTGCAGTGCGGGCAGCTCCTTCCTTCCACCTGGAGGGCTTCTCCCAACCTCAGCTTTCATGTTTCTCACCCTCAGTCCTGCACCGCCTCCGGAGACCTTAAGAGCTACAGTGGTCATGGCAAAGCAGTTTACCCAAGATACATTTTTGGCCCTTTTTCTTTTACTCTAAGACAAAATTTCATTAAGTTGTTTGGGCTGGGCTTGAATTTAGAATCTTCCTGCCTCAGCCTCTTGGGTAGCTACAATTACAGGCTTGTGCCACTCTACTCAGCTAAGATACAGAATCTAAGGTACTCCATATGCCTTTATTATTCAACCATTCCCTTAATGGTGGGCCATTTGTTATCTCCAGTGCTTGCTGCTGCAGGGAATATCCTTGTGTGTGTATTTTGAGTAAGTACTGGTTATTACTGCAGTAAACTTTCTTAGAAGAGGAACTACTAAAGATCTTTTGTGTATTCTGTTTTGGTACCAGGCTGCATCCCAGAAAACACTGTATGAAGTGCCCTTTTTTATTTTAAAGGGAGTAACACAAAACAGTAAGATGAAACAAAACAGAGTAATATAAAGTACCTTTTTCTTACATTTCAGTTATTACTGTTGAAGACACTCCAGCATTGTGTCTAAATCGGTCCTCTCCATTCCTCAGTAGAGCCTTGTAACTGTTTTCACACAGGGATTTTACATGGTTTTGTTGTTGCTATTTTTGAGACAAGTTTCTGCTTTGTAGTCCAGGCTAGCCTCAAACTAGGAGGTCCTCTTGCCTCAGCCTCCTCAGTGCTGGGATTACAGCAATGTACCACCTCCCTACACTCAACATCATTTCCTATTTGTACTTCCTATATATATTATGTTCCTATATATGTTACCGCTCCTGTTGTTTTATTAACAAAGTTTTTTCATAGCAATTTAAAGTTCTTTTTGTTGTATTTACCAGTCTGTTCATGGACTTTTTAATACTGCTGCCGATTCTTTGATTGTACTTTAAGTTCTCGGCATGTAGTCATCTAAAAGCAGTAATTATATCTTTTTCTGTATCAGTAGCTGTGACTTTTGATGTGCATGTTGTAGAACGGATGTAGGATGCAGCATGTCTGAATGCTTAAGGTTATATACTATGTCTATAGCCAGCCACCCATGCCCTTGTCCAGCTGCATCCCACAGAAACAGTTGTGCTAGCCTCTCAGAACCACTGGCCTTCCCTAAGAAATTGCGTTTACAGCTCTGAAGTTTGGCCGGTGTTTCCTTCCCCACTTTCAGGCTCTCTGGCTCACTCAGGCAGCCCGAGTTTTTGGTGTAGCTCAGCTTTCTTAAGGACATGGAGGATGAGTAGTTACAATACCCATCTGTAACTGCTCGTTTATTCTCCCTACATTACTTGAGCCATTCTGAGTAAAACGTTATCATCAGTACAGCTGCCAAAAATCCTTAAAACGTTTTTGTTATGCTCTCAGAAGTCAGACAAGGATGACTGTATTATGCCAGCATACAGTATCTGAGATGGAAAGGCCAGCTGAGGGCAGCTGCTGTGGCTGTTAGGTTACACAGGTGATGTGTGGATTGGCCTATGGTATTTTTGAAAATGTCTTGATAATGCTGAAGGAAATGGGAGCGTCTTAAAATTTTCATATTACTAATTTTCAAGTAGGTGCTGTTGCCAGTTGGTGCTGTGACATTTTCATTCTGATGCTTTGGACCACTGGTTTCCTTCCTGAAACCACTTGTGTTAAGCAGAAAGGTTTGGGGGCTGGGGATTTAGCTCAGTGACATAAGCACCTGCCTTGCAAGCAGGCGGTCATGAGTTCGATCCCTGGTACCGATCAAAATGAAAAAGACAAAAAAAAAAAAAAAAGCAGAAAGGTTCTGTTGTATTTTTGTCATCATCTTAAAGGTGACGCACACACCCAATCACAGCATGGCTAAGTGCTCCAACATGCCTGGAGCAACATCCAGGTCACCTGGTGATGTCCCCAACAGCTCTTAAGCTCGGCAAGCCCTTACTCTGCTCTTAAAAGTTAAGGAAGTGGTTATGATTTGGGGTAAGAGGGCCCACCTGTCCAGTGTTCCATAAGCCACTGTGCTTGCCAGCAGGCGCTGTAAGTACCTGTGTCTAGCTGCAGCTACCTGTATGGCAGCGGAGTGCTGTGAACACCAGGTAGCCACCCCAGGCTAAAAACCAACAGAATTCTCTTCCTTTTACAACCGTGGCTAGTTACAGGTCTCCTCATGGGAATCCACAGCAGGTTCTCAAATGTTGCTACATGCATGTTAGAGTCATGGCTGATACTCTCTGTAAATGTGGCAAGTATCAGTGACACCAGTGACATGTCCTGAGTACATGTGAAGACTGGTGATACCAGTGTTTCAGGCTGAACAGGGTTTCTGGGTGGGATGTGAGCCAATGTGGACTGAGGTACTCTGTGTGAGTTAATCAGAATTAACTGTCATTTCTCCAGCACTAATCAGCAGTGTCCTGGGGTTTGCCTCAGCGTTGGGCACTGGCATAGACAGCAATGGAAGCTAGCACTGCTGACCCACTAGCACTGTTTTAACCTGAACTTGGTTAAAACCTTACTCAGCCACTTGCCTAGAAGTACCAGAAATGGACCTCCCCCTAGGGAACACCAACCTCAGGGCCGCCCTTCTCTCAGGCTGCTGCTATCCTGAGTCAGTCTCCCAGTCACCCTTGTGGATGGGGCCTGTCTCCCTCTGGAAACCACCTGTTCCAAGCAGAAAGGTGCTGTGATCTCTCTGACATCATCTCAAAGGGACACAAACACATCTGAGAGAGAAACAGTTAAAACAGGCCTCCTTCTGCTGGCAGGGCATGTGGTGAACGCAGTCAGCTCTGGAGCTGAGCCTCTTCAACTCCAGGCATTTTCGTGACTAACTTAGCATATTCCTGGAGACCATCACCTCTGGTACTGTGATTTCAGTTCAGCCTAATTAAGTTGTGTAGTTTATTGGGTTTTATTTACCAAAATACTTCTTCAATCTCACCAATTGCAGGTAACCAGTTCAGTGTATCTTTGTAGTATAGATACAACACGTATAAATATTTTTACAAAACTACTATACCATGAACACCATCTGTAATGGTGTTTAGTTGGGCCAGGGATTTAGCTCAGCCACATAAGCGCCTGTTTTGCAAGTGTGAGGTCAGAGTTTGACCCCCAGCACCAAAAAAAAAAAAAAAGATGTAACACACACTTTTCCTCCTTGGATATAACAAAATCTACTAATTTCTCTGTCATTACACATTTCTGTTTTAGCAACTTAGACATTATAAAACAATGTCTCAAGCAGCATGTTGGTACATCCAGATCTGTAAGTTACTACGTAACTACCCTAAGTTGCTTCCTTAGGATAAAGTCCTAAGGATGGAATTGCAAGCTTTCAGACACGAGTAGCTTTAAAGCCTTAAGGTGTATCTGTTACATCCTGCTTCCACACGAATTCCTCTGTGTAGCCACTGCCCAAACTACAGCTCTCCGCACAGGTGAAGACAGCCAGGATGCCCCAGTCCACACTCGTGCCCAGTCTGTCTGCTTTCAGGTGGTTGAGCAGCTGTGGCATGACCTGAGGACAAGGACACTTGGTGAGAACACTCCTTCAAAGCAGGGAGCACCCAAGCCCTCAGAATGATACCGTACCTTCCATACTACCATCCTGACCCATGTGCACCTGTGACACTGGTAACATCTGCCAATGTCCAAAAACGTAAGGCAGGGTGGTTTTCACCAAAATACCCCATACCTGGAACTCAAAAATTCTCTTGGCACCACAGGGACAGTCTGGAATATCCTTGTCTTGGGGAATATTTTTACCAGAAATCCAGATAGGCTCAACACCTCTGCCGTATCTGAGAATCTAAAACCAATGAAGACCATGTTCAAATTATTAGTATGTCGTTGTTTTCTGGTAGTAACAAGGCATTTGATGATCAGAGAGCAACTGTGTGTGCCCCTACACATAACAGAGCACGGACTCCAGGCAGTTTCATAGTATGCAGTGCTAATGTGTTCTTCATTCCTCAAAGACATGATTTCAGTTTATTTCCCAGATAATACTTTTTCTACCTAGGATGTTAGAATCTTAATTTGTAAATGTATTGTGAAGGAATGAAGAATATGCCCATTACCAGATTCTATGTACAAGGTACTGAATTCATAGTCATTTTCATATACATGTAAGGAACTTTACACATTTTAAAAAGGACAAACACCTACTGAAATATACGTCTGCATTAATCTTACAAGTGGGTGAGTTCATTCTAATTAGCTTCCGGTAACGCTTCAGTGGTTTCCCCATGATTTTCTTTCTGCTAAAAATAACCTTTTTAGTGTTCAGGACACACAGTAATTCTCCCTGTAAATTTCTTGATACTTACTTAATCCACTGACATTCCATTTTTAGGAATGTAGCTGAGTTATCTTTATTGATTTGTATTTATGATGAGGTAAGTATGAGAAAAATACATTTTATGCCCAAGGTATCTACTAGAAAACTTGAGTGAGCCATACACACACAATATATATATGTATGTGTGTGTCTGTGTGTATATACATATATATATTATATATATATATAATCCCTGCACATATAAATAAAATCAGTGGTGCTGAGCCCCATGTATCTTAGGGAAGATCTCATTCTGCTCCCACCTGATGCTCCCTTTAGAAAATGACTCCTGTGTGATAAACAGATCCTAACTATTAAGTGGAACATAACTGCCAACATTTTTCTTTGTGGCCCATCAGTAATAAAATTTTTAGAAGCCTATTTTTATAGGCTCCAAAGGAACACTAGCTTTCTTATAACGAATTCTCAGGGATTATGCTTACAAAATACAGCTGGGGAAAAAAAAAGACACATGAAGAGATATAAATTCCATTTTACCTGCTCTGGTTCATGGGCTATCTGAGTTTTAAACTTCTGGAATATGTTATCTTCTCTAGATTCATGCCTGGCCATGGACTCCAACTCTTCTTCAGGTGCTTCTCCTGAAAAACCACCACAATTATGAAAAATCTAAATAATCTCTGTAAGTGAACACTCTTACTATGTAGTGTTCCCTTCTTAGTCATGCTGACTTCCAGGTGGTCCACATATTATATAACTACTGTGCAGGCTGCCTTATTCTTCTCTTTAAAAATTCAAATTAAAAGAATAGACCCAAGTCTCAGGACCGTACCCAGCACATCACTGAGCACCCAACACATCTGAGCTTGTTATCACTACTCTCTTAATCTGCCTGGGCTCCTATATCGCATCCAGCCTTGCTGAGCCACTGGTGTTCCCAAGAGCTGGTGGCTAAGCGTCTGTAAGGTGTATCACAGTATAACCTGGATGTCCTGAATCAGATAAACTGAATGAAAATTCCACCACTCTGATGAGCTTGGAAAAACGTTAAGTGATCGTGTTCACTGGCCCAGCCATGACCCACAAAAGGACGGTAAAGGCCTTCAGACCAATGCTCCACCAGGTACAAGAGCCAAGTTTGCTGTGACCTTAGGGTGATTCAGTGCTTTCTCAGTCTACAGCCACCACACCGCCCTGAACGTGCCCGAACTCCCAGTGCCTTCTCAGGGTCTCCTGTGTCCTGCCAGTCTCTTTACCCAGGAGCCTGAGATGGAGCAGGACTCAACGACCTGCAGGGATCATTTTCCCCTTCCACTTTATTTTGGAACATGTTAAACATATACAAAAGCAAAAACAGTGTAGTGAATCATCATAGACCAGCAATCAGCTTCAACTAAAATTTCTCAAGTCCTCCAATTCAGTTACTCTAAAGTAAGCTCCATTCAATATCACTTTATGAATAATTCAGATACATACCCCTGAAAAAGTCACCAATTTTCAAAATCAGATTAGTTCATAAGCTGTAATTGTGAACCATAAATTTAAACACATTTTATGTGTTTTAACCTACTGAAGTTTCTTGTTAATAGAATACATCAGTTCACACTATCTTGTGTGCCTTCCTCTGACCTAAATGACGTAACTCTTATAATTTCTGATAGCTTCCTTGATCTCTGTTACAGTCATGTTCCAACATTATCTGAACACTGAATCAACCACTTCTTGTTTTGTAAAAAAATGTTATTTATGCATTAGAAATACCCAGTGCTAGTGAGCTAATCATTATCTCTAATCCTTTATAGTGATTGCAACACATAGTTCATGATGCTTGCAATGGAAACTAAGAACGGAGTTTTTATTTAATCTTACACATCTATGTTAACTTTCTCCCAGGTCCAGTACACAAACATAGTGACTCCTGCTTTATTTTCCAATATACAGCCATTTCAAAACAGCAGCAATACTACCAAGTGTTTATTAAAAACCTAATTCTCTTTTCATTTTACCTTCCAGTTTTCCCTACCTTTAATAAAGGTGAAGCTTTCCCACTGTTTATGCTTTTCATTCAATTCCTTGTTCATGACACAATTTAGAAAACACCCCCAAAAAGAGACTCTAGCACCTCCAAATCCACTAATGGTACACTTTTCTTAACATACCAAGTTCTTTCTTTCTAGCATTGTATTTGTTCATCTACTGAAACTCTGAAACCAACTCCTTACCCATGCTTTCTATAATCTCAGAGTCTTCTTCCTTTTCTATAACTTCAGGCATAATGTCTTCTGTTTCTATCACAATTTCAAATTCTGGGAAAAGGAAGTTGTGGTCTGGAACTGTATGGTCCACATGATCTAAAACAAAAAAAGTTACAACTATCACAAATTACCTATTTAGTTTTGAAAATGGTATAAAAGTTTTCTATTTCTAAAGTATACTTATGCATTGCTTGATATGTTCTGAGACCTGTGTCGTTGAGTTATGCCATCTTTAGAACATCAGAATAAACTCAAAAACCCCAGATTAGACAATGTAAGCTAATCACTCAACCTAGCCTTATGAGGCAATCAAGAGACATGACAAACACTAGATGGTAAGACTTCTGCCTGTGTAACATGGCAAACCATTTTTCAGTTGTTTTCCTAAGAGGAAATGCTCTAAGATAAAAAGTACGGTAAACATATAAGCAGTATAGTTACCTATCACCAAGTATTACATGTACATGGTTGTATGGGCTATACTTTTACATTACTGGCTGCACAGGAGGTCTGTTTATACCAGCACCACAAACATGTGCAATGTGTTACACTGTAACATTAGCATTTTAAGAGATTACTGCTGCATAGTCCCACAGCATAAAAGTTTTCCTTGTTACTATATGCAGGTATGTTAGACTGGAGTTATAATCCTTATAACATCTATTAAATAAGATTATAAGAATTTCCATGCTATCGGGGCATGGTGGCTCACACCTGTAATCCCAGCACTCAGGAGGCTGAGGTGGGAGGATCCTTGCAAGTCTGAGACCAGCCTGGGCTACAAGGTGAGCTCAAGCCCAGCCTGAACTGTATAGTGAGACCCCATCTCAAAAAAAAAAAAAAAAAAAAAAGAATGTCCATGCTGCTTTCTAGTTGTTCTGAGTTTGTTATATAGCAAAAATGCTTGTATTAAGGCAAAGCTGGTCACACAACTGATTTAAGAGTTCAAAGATGCTCTTTAATAAAGGTCCATGGAGGGGCTAGGGATTTAGCTCAGCGGCACAAGCGCCTGCCTTGCAAGCAGGCAGTCGTGAGTTCAATCCCTGGTACCGATAAAAACGAAAAAGACCAAATAAATAAATAAAGGTCCATGTTACCAGTTACAAAATTTTGGAAAGTACAGTACAACAACTCTTCTAATTTTAACTTTGGAATTAAACTGGAAGTAAAATAGTTGGGTTGACAGAAACTCTTGGAACTGAACGGAGGTTTAGAAGAAAGTGTTACCTGGTGTGCAGGTCTGCTTATGTACCGATCTCCAGTCTATTAGCTGATGCTCCTTACTACAGTAATGCGCCTGGTGGCATCTGGAGCATGTTTTAGGGGCTAAACAGCCACACACCCTGCAGAGGTGAGTGCCAGGTTTAAGCTGGAGACACACATCTTCTCCTGCATCTGGGGGACAAGTCTCAGAAGGTGGCTCAAAGGAGTAAAACTCATTTTTCCTAGGTAGCTGATTCCTAAAAACTAGACAAGAGAAAACTATAAACATTCTCAGTGAACCAAAAGAACAATTCAAACGTCTGAGCCTCTTAAGCACACCCTGTAAAATGAAAAAGTATTCAATTAAAACATAAAATAACTGCTTTCAGGGAGCTTAGTTTCCAGAGACAAGAAAACAAAAAATGAAGGGCTTTTTAAAATCCAACAATTACATTTGTTTGGTACAAGCAATGAAGTGTGCGCTTGTAGCTGACTCGAGGAAGTTAATGACAGAAGTAATCGTTTTCCAGAACCCGTCTTTCTAAGAGACAACTTTCTACCTGAACGTATCCATCCAAATTTAGTACCCACTGATTAATCTAAAGATTGGAGTTAGGCAACAGCGTGGACAAGACAAGATTCCACAGGAAACACGCAGAAGCCCAAGAGCGCTCCAAGTCAGCGCCGGACCTGGGCAAGTCGCTTCCGGCCACCCGCGCAGACCGAAAGGCGCGCCTCGGCCTCGGCCCCGCATCGCCCCGCCCCGCCCCGCCCGGGCCACGCTCTCACCCTGCTCGGGCCCTGCTCCGACCCCGCTCCGACCCCGCTCCAACCCCGCTGCGCTCCGCACCTCGGAAACCCGCACAGCACGGCGGCTCGCGACAGCAGAAGAGGAAGAGGCTGCGGTGGAACGCGTCGGCGCGGCCCGGCAGCGGAGCATATACCTGCAGCAGGAAGGCAAGGGGTCGCCCGCAACGCGGGCACGCCAGGACCCCGGGCCCGGGCAGACCGGCCCCGCTCAGCCACGCAGGACGCCCGCCCACCTTGCTAGGGAATTGCGCGCTGCGCAGCCGCCACGCCGGGGCCTCTTCTGCGAAGCCCAGCTCCACAGCCCTGGGTCCAGCGACCGCCATGATAGCACAGAGATCACGGCGCCGGGCACTGCCTGGGCGGAAGCGGATGTCGTGTGCCTACGCAGAAGGCGGGAGCAGGTGCGTTACCAGGAGACCAGAGAGAAAGGCGGAAGTCGAGCGCCACACCGGAAGGCCTGACAGGAGGCCAACATCCGGGGCGGAACCGGAAGTCGGCTGAATGTGGGGACTGGCCCTGGAAGAGTAGGCTGGAAGCAGGGTTTAGCTGCTGAGAGCGAGTAGAGGTTAGGATACGTTTGCGATGTGGAATGAGAAAAATCTGGCGGCGTTGCCAGTCCTTTGTGTTCCTACTTACGGCCTGGAACTCGGGAGCGGGGCAGCTGGCCACGTGTCCACTGGGACTTAGCCAGCGTGGGCGGTGCGTGAACACGTGCCTCTGGGCAGGAGCCAGGCGCGGCGCCTTCGGACTGGCCCCCTTGGTCTACAAGGATGTGGGTACCAGTGAGCTTGCAAGCCTTAGTGGAGAAACAGGCAGTGAATGTTAAACAGAGATACATTGAAGCAAAAACCCAAAAATTAGGGCCCCTGGAGAACCTCTGCCACGCGCCGCCATTGCCGCCCCTAGGCCCCAGGCCCAGTACTGATTTTGCGCTTAGAAAGCTGACACAGGAGATGAAAAGACTACGAGTGAACACGTGTTGCTGGATAATGATTATTAGACACACTCTAAGAGACAGACATAGGCCAGGAGCACCCAGCATGTGGGCGCCGCAACACAGAGAAGGGGCAATGTGTCCCATGCATCATGCGGGGAGGAAACCTCAGGAAGGGGCTCAGGACTGGGTTCCTACTAAACTGCATTGGAAGATTTTAGTAAAAGGAGATCAGTGTGCCCAGACATGTGTCCAGCGAGTTCATACCAAGAGTGAGGGATTTCCCTTAAACCTGATGTTGAAATTTAAGATAAAACAAGTCACAATTTGATTGGGTAACAGTTTTGTGGGCTATGAGAGTTAACAACGTAAAAGATACTAATTGAAGCCAGTTGAACATATCCTTAACATCTCAAAAGACAACATCCACAAATGGAAGGAAGATTGTATTAGTGTTTTTCTTTCTTTCTGAAACTTCAAATTTGTGCAGGCAGGATCATAAGTTGTTTTATAGAAGAGGGTTTGAGTAATGTGAATATATGGTTGAGCAGTTTTCAAAAATGGAAAAATTCTGGGGTTAGGGGCTAGGAATTGAAGATAAGATAGGGAAAAGTTTGGATTGAGCACTAGGAGTTGGGGTTAGAGTTAAGGGTATCAGGAAATAATGGAGATTGGGGTTGGTATTGGGTTGGGAATACAGTTTGGGATGAGGATCGAGGTCAAAGTTGGAGTAAGGCTTGGATTTAGGTTTAGGGAATTAGCATGTTAGGGTTCAGGGTTGGGAGCAGTGTAAAAGTATGATTGGGGTTCTGGGTTTAGGCTTTGAGTTTTGGGTTTGTGCTAGGATTATGGTCAGGATTTAGGTTTGAGGTAGGGTTAGGGTTTGATGACATTGTCAGTCAAGCTAGGCTTGTTAGGAATTGGGTCATGTCTTAGAATCAGGGTTCAAGGATCTAGGGATTAGGGTATAATGTGTTGGGATTAGGGTTAATTGTTTAGGATTTGTGTTAAATCTAGGCCATGATTAGAACAAGGGTTAGTGTTAGGGTAGAGTTAGGTGGTTTTTTAGAGGCTGGGATAAGGACTTAGATTGGAGTTAGGCTTAGAGTTGTATGTCAGTGTTAGGAATAGAGGTAAGTGTAATGTTAGGGTTAGTGTTATGGCTAGAGTTAGAGTTATTTATTAGATTGAAGGATACCGTCTCAGCGATTATAGCTTTTTTTTTTTTTTTTTTTTTTTTTTTTTAGGTTTACCACCAAGTATACTGATAAATTACTTAGGAGAGCTAGTAAATTTTGAGAAAGGTGAAAATTTGTATCCCACACTAAGCCACCTTATCTTTGACAAAGTTACCAAACATTCACTAGAAGAAGGATAGCCTCTTTTTTTAAAAAAATTTTTTTGGTCTTTTTCATTGTTATCGGTACCAGGAATTGAACTCACGACTGCCTGCTTTCAAGGCAGGCGCTTATGCCGCTGAGATAAATCCCCAGCCCTGAAGGATAGCCTCTTTAATAAATGGTTCTGGAAAATCTGTCTCTACACATGCTGAAGATTAAAACTGGACCCATGTCTTTTACCATACACTAAGCTAAAATTGGGGTGGATCAAAGATACTGATACTAAGCCAGAAACATTAAATCTGCTACAAGATAGAGCAGGTAAAACTCTTGAAGATATTGGTGTAGGCAAACACTTCACATAAAACTCTGATTAAGCAGGAACTGTCACACAGAATCAACAAGTGGCATTTCATCCTATTGAAAAACCTTACGCACAGCAAGAGAAACCACCAACAGAGTGAAGAGACAACCCATACGTTTGACAAAATGTTTATCAGCTGTACCTCAGACAAAGGATTACTATCGAGAGCATAAAAATAATTCAAAAAAATCAGTCCTCCCACATTTAAAAACACAATCCAAAAATGGGCACCTGAAGTAGAACACACTTCTCAGATGAAGAAATAGAAACAGCACAGCAACATCACTGGTCATTTGAGAGATGCAAACTAAAACAATATTGAGATTCTCCCTCACCCCAGAAAGAATGTCCAGTACCAAGAAAACCAATAAGTACTGGAGAGATGGTGGGGAAAAAGAACCCTTCCCCACTCTTGGTGGGAGTGTAGCTGATGCAACCACTGTGGAAATCAGTGTGGTGATTCCTCAAAAAACTAGGACTGGTGGTCCCATTCAACACAGCTGTATCCCTTCTGCTATCTTCCTAAGAGAACTAAAAAAACATCAGACCACAGCAATACATGTGCTCCCATGTTTATAGCAGGAAACAACCTAAATAGTCATTGACTGACAATGGATGTAACACTAGTTGGCCATTAAAAAAGGATAAACTGGACACATAAGTAAATGGATGCAACTTGAGAACACACCTATAAGTGAAATCAGACACACATGTAAACATCTTGTCTCACTAGTGTGAGAAGCTAAACATATGTGTGTATATACATGTGTATAAAAATAAGATAGGGGGTTAGGGATTTAGCTCAGCAGCATAAGTGCCTGCCTTGCAAGCAGGCAGTTGTGAGTTCAATCCCTGGTACCGATTAAAAAAAAAAATAAAATACGTATACTACTGGTTTCACTGGAGAAAGATTTGTGCAGGCCGTATGTTTTATGGTCTGTTGTTTTTCATCTCATGCAACTTTTAATATTGTTAAACACTCAAAATGTGCTGCAAACCACATTATTTCTCATCACTCCTGTCAAGACTGCTATTTCAAGAAATGAATACTCAAAAGCTACCCTTATGTGTAAACAGTGACTGATTGGCTGTCACATTAAGTAAAAGGCCAGAAAAGAAATAATCATACCTACCAACCTTCTATTGTGTGTGAGGAGCTTTCCTGTGTCCTTCTGGCCAATAGTGACTGTGCTGACATGGTGTTTCCAGTCATTTTTCTTCACTTAGTGACTTTTTTTTTTTTTTTTTGGACTTTTTGAGACAGAGTTTCACTATGCAGTTCTTGAACTTGCAACAAGCCTCCTGCCTCAGCCTTCAGAATGCTGGAATTATAGGTGTGTGCCACCACACTGAGCTGACTTTTTTTCTTTCTTTCTTTTTTTTTTTTTTTTTAACTTTTTATCGGTACCAGGGATCGAACTCACAACCACCTGCTTGCAAGGCAGGTGCTTATGCCACTGAGCTAAATCCCCAGCCCTCTGGGCTGACTTTTTTAATTGAAGCTTTAGAAATAAATTATTATTATTATTATTTGTCTTTTTTGAGGCGGTGTCTCGCTATGCAGTTCAGGCTGGCCTTGAGCTCACTTTGTAGCCCAGGCTGGTCTCGAACTCGCAATGATCCTCCCACCTCAGCCTCCTGAGTGCTGGGATTACAGACGTGAGCCAACATGCCCGGCTGTTAGAAATAAATTATTCTGAAGCAACTGAAACTACACCATTGTTAAGCCAAAAATAGATGTTATTGAACTTATTTCAACCAATCATAGGAATTCTACATTCAATTGAATATTTTACATAGTTTCTGCGTGTTTAATGTAGTCTATGTAGTTTTGTGTGTTATAAAAATTTGTTACAGTTTTAACCAACAATCCTTCACTGAAGGGCGGAGTTCTTCCCCCTTACACCAGGTTTGATCTGCTCCTGGATTAACGTCTTTGCCACCACACAGATGTGTGGCTCTCAGAGACCCCTGACTCCTGCTGCAGTTCGTGCAGTCCTGCTATGACTGCAGCTGCTGTTGCTGTTGAGCTTCCCAAGTTCAATGCTGTTGCTGCTCTCCAGACTACAATGACCATGTCCTCCTGTCTTGGCATGCTGTGCTTTTATGTGTTGTGGTTACACTGTTTTAGCTCGGTTTCTTCCTTGCTGTGCTCTGCATCTGTGGCTAGGGAGATGGAAATATTTATTCACCTCCTACAAAGTTCCAAACAGCTGAGCGCACCCCCCAGTCTTCCTAGGAAACTGGTTGTCCAGGGCACCCGGGATTTCTCAAGAGGCAGCTTTCCACAGAGCATCATTGAACATGTTCATTGTGCCGCCTTGGTTTGTCTTTATCACGGTTCCTGGAAGGGTTGCTTTAATGAGTTTTGTAGTAATGGAACCTTTGGATTCTAGACAGCTCTGGGCTTGTAAGTAGATCCATCTGTCAGTCACTGAGAACGCAGAAAGCATCCGACTGGCAAGATCAGTTGTGTTGATGAGGGTCGGGAATACTTGGAAATGCCAATGCCAATGAGCAGCTGACAGAGTGACAACTGTGGACCTTGGAGGCTTGTGCCATCCACTGGAGTATTAGCCATTTTTGCCCTGTGAGAGTGACAGCTCACTCTGCTAGACTTAATCTTTTTATTTTTATTTATTTATTTTGGTACCGGGGATTGAACTCACAACCTCGTACAACTTAAGCTTGTCATCCTGGTTATGCTAAATTTCTCAACGTTGAACTGTCATCAACTGATTAAGTTGC